AACGGGGTAGGAGATGAGTAGGGAGAGAGGAGAGAAGGGGGAGAGGAGAAACCAGCTGCCTGCCTGAAGCGTCCCCAGTGGAGGGCAACGGGTCAGGCTGGGCTGTGCCTGGGAGCTTGGTGCTGTGGTGCGCTGGTATCACAGCTGTGGCCGGCACTGCTGCAGGTGTGGAAAGCCAGCAGCAGGAACGGGTCCGGGGACACAGTGCCCCGACAGCACCCCAAACCGTACGGGGCCCTGCTGTCTGGCACTGCCCATTGAGCTGTCATCTCTGGCCGAGCGTCTCTGCCCAGATTGAGGGGCACAGTTGCCACTTTCCCCTTTTACAGGCTCCATGCAATAGAAGCTGAGCACGTACCCGGGAGACACACAGACAGGCACATGCATGCCCCATTGAGGGAAGTTACATCCAGGCCGGTACCCCCAGTAGCTGCTTTTGGAGACCCCAAATGCTCCTGCCACATTTTCCTGGAGGCTGAGGCTCCCTTTTGAGATGGTAAAGATGCTAAAACTTATCCAAATTAGTATTTAGCTACATATATGGTAAAACATCCTAATTATCCGGGATGTGGATGAAAACCTAGAAATATGCCAATTGGATGTAGATGAGAACCTTATGAGAAGCAGATGTAAAAAAGAAGGTATCGCTCAAGGCCAATGGATGAGGGAAGGATGAACAACTTGTTGGCAGGAAACAAGGGAAAGATAAACAAAAAACTTCGAAATACTGTGCAGCAGCAGGTCAAAGTCCACAAAGGTAAAAAGTTTAACCTCCTCTTCCTCGTTGCCTTCATCCTGCAAGACCCCTGCCCACGACGGTGAGAAACACTCCGTAGCCAATATCTTAGGCTCAGGCGAGGATCTCAGTGAAGTAGTAATTTATTCGGGATTGCAATGGCGGGCGCTCCACAAGCAGGAGAGCACATCTACTAGTTCCAAAACATAATTTATATACTTTTTGACGACAGGACCCTCCCCTGTTTCCCCACTGAGTGGGTAATCCAGGTTCACAATCTATCTGATGCTTCACAAACAATGCATGGCCTTCAGTAGCCAGCCTGTCAAATTTCAATTTCCTTTTGCCATTTTTACTGTTTGAAGTGGTAATGTTTCTTCAGTTATCTGACTTGACTTAACACCATGATTTTCACCTAATTGTCCTAAGGAGTCTGGTTGTCTGCATTTTACAAGGTCACCTGCTTAAGCTTTCTTATCACTGTAAGCATATCTCAGTACCACATTTCTTCCTTCTAAACAATGTAACTCTGCCAAAACAACATTTCTATTCCTACACGACCACCAGGCTACACTGCGCAGGCGCAACCGGGAGGAGCTAAGAGTAGGGAGTATGGAAATGAGTACTTGGAAGAGGTCTGCCTTTTGGGGAAAAATAATGAATATGTAGTAGAGCTCATGTAATGTGTGACAATATTCATGTATGAAGTTGTGAGAGACGACTGGGAAGGTGCACAAATTTGAGGGAAGCTATTCCCAGTGCGCCCGGTGCACTGCAATATAGTATACCTACTTTACAACCCTATGGTTGTGGAGTCTTTTCCGTGCATCACTTTCCCTGCTCCAGGAGCTACACGGGGACCCCCTGGCTCCAGCATCTGACAGCACAGGCCAGAGGTGTCATCGCACTGGGTCTGACTCCTGCAGCCGGCACCAAATGCACTCCTCCCTCTCCACCAGGAGTTGCTACTTTCTCCTTGCAGCACACGTGCACATGGGACAGAGCGAGATTACGCAGATGTAAGGAAATATTCCAGAAGAGGACAGGACAGACAGCGGTGCTCATGTGCAGGGCCCAGCCACACAAGTACATGCTGTAGCCCCTTTTACACCTTACTCTGTGTGCCCTCATGTGCTCCTCCCGGCTCCCATTTCCCTGCACGTCCCCTCATGGGGTTGTATAGGTCTGTCCTGCACCCATCCCAGTCTGTGTCCTGGCCTACAGCTGTAGGAGGTGCAAGGCCCAGGCTGATCACCCTGGCAGTGGCACCTGTGGTTACTTGATAGGCCATCAACTGGTGTGAATGGTGATGTTTGTCTCTTGTCATTGCCTCTGTGTTTGTTTTCTCTGGTCTCAGTCTCTGTATGCTTGTTGCTTGCCTCCTCTTTTCTTACCATCCCACTTGCCAAGGTCTCCAATCTTAGAACCTCACTGACATAAACTCAGCCACAGCTCTGTGTACCCCCCACAAGTGGTGTGACTGCCCACATTTGTCTTCTCACTGCCTCCCGCATCATCTGTCAGTCAGGTTTTTATCCCTGTGAGTTGGTTCCAGCTTCCTGCTGTTCTTTCTCTGGTGGTGCTGATGTATTCAAGGAGCACAGCAGTCCAGAAGCTCTCTGCAGAAGGCAGCTGCATGACTGACAGCGAGTCCCAGAAGGAGCTGCGATTGTGTAGGGCCAGAGCATGGCAAACAAAGGGTGTGAGCACCGCTTGTGCCAAGGAGGGGAGCAGGAGCTCAGCCCACAGGCCTCCCACCAGACTGGAGTTCTGCAGTGGGTGGCAGATGCACGCAGCTTGGTCATAGGCCATGAGTGTGAAGAGGACATCCCAGTTTAGGCCCGCTAGTGGAGGAAGAGGAGCCAGACCACACAGCTGGAAAAGTAAATTGTCCATAAAGAGGCATCCTGATCAAGACATGGCACATGTCCGTGAATGGGAGGTTTCCAAAGACAAACTACACGGAAGGATGCATGGGCTATTTGGGCACCCCACATGAGTGTATTCCCAGCCTGGATCAAGAGGCAGAGGGCTGAGAATTCCAGAACGAAGAGCAGCAGCTCTCAGCTCTCAGAAAAACCCAGTAGCTACAAAAGAAACCTCTCTCTAGACGTTCCCCTCACTCCTGTGGGAAGGAGATAGAGTTGCTGCTCAGGAGTCATTGCCTTCCACCACTCGATATCTTCTGGAGGTAAAACACAGCAGGGCCTCAGCACGCCAGGATGTGTCTTCAGAGAGAGTAGAAAGTAAAATCAGAACCCTAGAGTTCAGGAGAGCAGCATTTGCTTTCTTCACTGTGTGGACACCTGTCTTTGTGCGTGTGTGCCCAAATATACTTCAGTATGTATCCAGGAGTGTCTGTGAGTGCACCCATGAATTCATGCATCTTTTGACATGAGCAGCAGTGTGTATGAGTGCTGTTCCCTCTACCTGCTTTTGATGTCATGAATAATATCCGTATGAGAACAAGCAGCACACTGTGAATTAACAGAAACAGTGATCTGAGTGATCTGACGTCAGCATCCCACCAAGGCTGATCTGTGGTGACTGTGTATGTTGCCCCATGCTTCCTGAGCAGTCCTAATGAGAAACCCTCCAGAGGATCACAGGCTGAACCTCCAGCACGCACCTAGTCCAACCCTGTTTTCAGAGCGGGTCATCAGATCAGCTTGCTCAGGATCAAGTCCAGGCAAAGTCTGAACTCTTCCAAGGATGGAGCTCCAATAGCACCTCTTAGGCAATCTGCTTCAGGATTTGATCACCTTCAGGGTAAATATTTCTTCCATGTATCTAACCAAAACTACCCGTTTCTGAACTTGCACGCATTAGCCCCAGACTAAGTTGGAGTGCCCCAACTGATCACTGGTGGGTGTCATGACAGAAATAAGCTTACATCATGTAAGGAGAAGGTGTATGATTTTATTTATTTTTTAAAACAGTAAATGAAAGGCATCAAGTTATGGGAGTGAAGAAGGAATTCCCTATGGACAAGATCTGCATTGTGTGTCTTGGGAAAACCCACCCGGCTCTGTCCGATGCTGGTAGAAGGCAGGATCACCTACACATGAAAGGTTTCCTTTCTGTGTACATTCATCTTGTTATTCCTTCTAACTAAAACAGCCACTGACCTGTTGGGCCTTTCATTTGTGATCCATAAAGGGCCCTGCACAGCCTCTCCCACTGTACAGACATCCCTGGGTCAGAGCAGGAGGAGGCAAAACAGGCCAGCAGGTTTTCCCTGAGGGCAGTGTCAGCAGGGGTAGGGTCACAGGCAGGAGCTGGGTCACCTGTAGCCAAAAAGCTCTAGAGAGTCCCTAGGGAGTCACCCAGAATGACAACATTTGCCTTTACTGGACTCTTCCAGCACGTGAGCTGAGTCTTCTGCCCACACTGAAATATGTTGCCTGGAAATACTTGGGCCTCCCTACCTGCCACTCAGGAGTTGCCTTCTTTGGGGAAAGGGCATAAAGCAGGAAATGAAAAGCAGCATCACAGGAAGGCAACACACATCCCGTATCATTAGGTGGGATGTTTTTCATGCATGAGTAGCTTGTCAGAAAATAGTCCCTGCTTCAAGGGATGCCTCTGGACACGGGGCAGCTAAGGCCCACTATAAAAGCCAGCCCAGCTCCGTGCTCAATCATCCATTTCTCTGGCCTTCGTCTTGTTGGGAAGTATGTGGGTGTGAAGCCCCTTCTTGTCCCCCTCATTCTCCCACAGGAGGACTCAGTTCCTTGGGCCTTTCAGCTGCTATCAGCTGTGTGCCCTGCCAAATCTTGGGACTGCTGGTTGTGGGAGAGTCAAGGGGTAGAAGGTTTGTCATGGAGGAAGACCTCCGTGGTCACAGTACTACCTGTGCCTTGGTTCTCTTAGGATGTGGTGACAGGCTGCTCCTCATGCAAGCCCATGTTCTGCTTCCTCTCTGCCCTCTCTCCTATGTCCACCTCCTGCCCCCAGACATGTCTTGCTATGACCAGTGCCGGCCATGCCAGCGCTGTTGCCTGACGCCACTGGCCAGCAGGGCCACAAGTATGAATCAGCTTTCATCAGGCCATGGAACTCAGAGACCCCATAGGTGACACAATCGCACCATGCTCCAACCATAGGGCACACGCTGGAGGATCTTCTTCCAGGCACCAAGCTCCTCTGTATTTTCCAGAGTCATGAGGATGAAGTGGCCTTTGTGCTCCATGCAGCACCACTGCTCTCTACACCCAGGCGAGGGCCTTCTCAGCTCTGCACACCTCGGGGCCCTGTGGTGTGGGGGTGATTTAGTTTCGCACAGACTGTGTAATGGGACCAGGACGGAGGATGGGGTTATTGCTCCATGGTGTGAGGATGGGGGGACCTCTCCGTAGGCCATGTTCTCTGGGAGGCAGTGCTGGCTTAGGTGGCGGTGCAAGAGCAACACGCATCAGAACCAAGCCCACCACAGCCCAGCTCTGGCCTGACCTTTAGCCCAGGGCCTCTGCACAAGCTCAGGCCTAGCATAGCCCTGCCCCAGCTCTGCTGCCTGTGTGCCTATGCCTTCCTGGCCAAATCTTGTCAGCCTGGCCTGGCCAGCCTCTTAGGTGGTGCAGGGCCATCACTGGATGGAGCCTTCATCCAGGCCTCTCTGGAGTCTGGCCTATCTGGTATTGTAATACACAATAAATGTTTGTTCATTGTCTTTTGTATTAGAAAAACAAGGAATTCTGTTTGAGGAGCAGGAGTTGCAAAAGCTTCCTGGTGAAGTAAGGATCTGTATAATGCTTGGTTAGACACTATGAAAATTCCTTTGCTTAATGTAACAAAAAAGAGAACCCCTTCCCCTTCTCTCCTTCTGCATCTCAGTTGCCTCTTTTGTTCAAAGACACTGCTGCAAAGCTCATGTAACCATCTCCTGATAAGTTGCTAAACTAGTGTATCAACATCCTGCCTTCCTGTCTCACGCTGGGCCAACATGACCAATTAAAAAAAAGAAGTTGAACCACAATGCCAAGGAAGACTACGGCCTTCATCTTCACGACCACCAGAGGGACGGAGATGACCCCCTAGCAACAGTGCACGCAGTCGCAGAATATACCAGGATGTGCTGCGTAATCCCAGAATTACCAAGATATAAAAAGGGACCCTGGTGGGCGTGAGGTGCGCGCCATTGATGGAGCTGAGACTCCCCGGCCACCCAGCGCTCTTTTGCTTGCTGTTGCTTACTCAATAAATTCCTTTCTATTATTAATGCAATGCTCTCTGAAAATTAATTAAGGGGGCAACTTATAACAGTATTAGCCCCTGCGCAGCTCTCACGCTGGGACTGAGACTTTCTACGCATAACACATCTATTGCCTGGGTTAGAGCAATAATCAATAGGTGCTCCTGAGCCAGAACTATCTCCTGGCTAACACTGAAGTCTGAGATGAAGGAGCATATTCACAATTTGGAGATTCACCTTTGTCTTGGAAACGACAAAATCCGTCTGGAGAACAAGTGAAATTTTTGATTCATCTTTCCTATTCCTGAGATTTCGTGCTGCAATATGAGCAGCAGAAAACATCAACAAAAAGCGTCTTCCATTTTTTTTCTCATTCGGATTCTCAAACTGGTATTTAACAGCTGTTTGTTCAGCCCCAGGCATGTTCCCAGGCAAGAACCAGAGGGAAAGCATTGTTCCTGCAGAGGTGTTCAGTGTCTCCAGAGAATCCTTGGGGCAATGATCCCGGGGGTAGATCAGACCCTTTCTGAGACAAGGCTGAGGCTGGTGCTGCCTTCCCTGAGAGCACAGAGAAAAGAGGGCCCATGGCTGTCCCCTGCTGGGAGCTGCCTGGGCCAAGCTTTTCTTTCTCCAGGTTGCGTTGCTTCTTGCTCTTGCAAACAGACAGAAGAGCTTCCTGAAGCCTGGGGACATCAAAACACCATATTCAACATGGTTTTGAGACGGAGGAAGGTTCATCAGCACAGCCTCGATTCTCCTGTCTGGCCTTGGCATTTGCAGCCTGCAGGATGCCTGGCTTGTCCCAGACACGTACCAGGTTGTCCCAGACACGCAATCCCACACTGCTGCAGGAGCTGGTCACTATGACACTGCTTCCTGTGCAGGGACTGAGGATGATCATACATGCCTCCAGCTCCCCTGAGGAGACATCAACGAACTCAGTGGGTTGTAAGTCTTCATTTATCTCTTGCTCTGATTGCTTACTGTGAAGAACATGGAGAGCTCTTGGGCCTTTGGCACTAGGGGCTGCTCTATTTTTTCTGTCCCTGTCCTGGTTTCAGTTAGCACAGAATTAATTTTCTTCCTAGTAGCTGGTGGAATGCTGTGTTTTGGCTTGGGATGAGAAGAGTGCTGATAACACCCCGATGCTTTAATTGTTGCAGAGCAGTGCTTATACTAAGCCAAGGACATCTCAGCCTTTTGCTCTGTCCTGCCAACGGGCAGGCTGGGGGTGCAGTAAGAGCTGGGAGGGGACAGACCCAGGACAGGTGACCCAAACTAGCCAAAGGGGTATTCCATACCATCTGACGTCATGCTAAACAATATATAGGGGTGGCTAACCGGGGGAAGGGGGCCGGACTGCTCGGGGTTAGGCTGGGCATCGGTCAGTGAGTGGTGAGCAATTGCATTGTGCATCACTTGTTTGTACATATTATTATTATTTCCCTATTATCACCATATTATTATTATTGTTATTATTGTTATTATTATTTTGTTATTATTATTTTCCTGTCTTATTAAACTGTCTTTATCTCAGCTCACGGGCTTCACTTTCCATTTCTCTCCCCCGTCCCAGAGAGGGAGGGGGGAGGGTGAGCGAACGGCTGCATGGTGTTTAGCTGCCGGCCGGGTTAAACCATGACAGTACCTCAGGCACAGGCTTTGGACATGGACTGGCTGGAGGTCTGCAGATAACCTGGTGGCTGGGATGCAAATCCATTGCTATTGACTGACTCATTGAAGAGAGGGAAGTACCCTGTAAATCTCTGTCAGAACTACATCTAGGGGTCTCTGGCCTGGGCTAGCCAGGGCTCAAAGCAAACAGCTTTATCATGGGCTTGAAGGAATTTACTCACCCTGGGGATGAGGGGCTGAGGGCAAGCCCCCAGGGGAGTTCTGTTTCCCAGCAGGCTCTGCCCTAGTCTGGCAGCCCAAAAAGGGAGGAAAGTAGAGCACTGTGGCCCATGTCAACCAGTCAAGGTCAGCCCTCTCTGCACAGCCAAAGACATCAGGCTGTTTGGGAAAGAGGATTGGGCTGGTAGATCTTGGAGTGAACAGGGGAAACAGCACAGCCAGGGGAGAGTTGAGTGCCCCATCCCAGAGCTCTGCCTTGCACAGACACATCCCCTCCACATCCAGAGTTGTTGCTCAGCCAGGGCAGCTCTGTGCACCAGGGTGTCACGCACAGCACAGAGGTACAAGGCGCTGTCAGAGAGCTCGACTTCCTTCAGATGCAGAACACTGGATTTCCCCTTAGTGTTCAGCTCCGTGGTGAAACGGTCCTTCTGCTTGGTGCCTGCTACTGCTTGATGTGTAATCAGCTGAGGGGCTTGTCCCTTCTTTTGCTTGTACCAGAGCAATCCCTGAAAGTAGGAGGTTTCATATGTGCAATTTGTCTGGAAGGTGTTTCCCTGCTCCACGGAGACTTGTCCTTCTTCCTGGGTGATGGACACCTGCCCCATGGTTTCTGGAAGAAAGAGAAGGTCAGCAGCTCCGTAGAAAAGTCTCCAGGCAGCCAAACAGGAGTGGATTTAGACACGTGGGAGATAAGTTTCCCAGGAGTGAGCCCAGCCTGTGCACACAAGGAAGAGGACTTTGGAGGAACACAGCAGGCAGAAGACAGACTGGACACCCTGCAAATGTCCATGGGTGGAGAGCTTTCATGTCCTGTATTGACTTGGACACAATCTGTTTTTTTTTCTATAGGAAAGGGAGAAATGAGGGACTGCAGAGACTGATGAAACCTTCTCTCGTGACAGGAGGTGGACCAGAAGAGAGAGGCAGAAAAGACATGGACTGAAAGGACGAGAGAAGCAGGAGAGGTCTCTTCTCCATCTCCATTTCCAAATTTTGAAGAATAACAGTATCATGATAGAAACCGGCCAAGAACCAGAAACAGGAGACAACATTTACCAACATTCTCCCTGTGATTCAAAAGCTGTTCCCCACATAAACGTGGTAAGGCTTCCTGGGGAAAGCAGATTTATACCTTGATTAAAAGCCAGCACTTACCCAGCAGTTGCCCCAGGAAGGCAGTGAGGATGAGATACCCACGGTGCATGCTGAGACCGACCCTCTTGTTTGCTGTGGGAGAGAGAGTCAGAAAAGCACCTCCCAGCCCCAAGAGAACAGAGCTGCCGGAAATGACTCTGCTGGGGGAACAAGGGCAGACTCCCTGGGGTTTCTCCCTCCTCCAGCTGCAGCAACCTCTGAGGATTGTCACAGTCAGGGATCCTGGGAACTCTGGGAGCCGCATCATGTGCAGGGGCTGCTCTCGTCTCCTCTCCCAGTGGGGTCCTGCCTTCTCTTCTTCACACACACTGCTTGGCCGTGGCTGATGTGAGGGCAGTCTTCTCCACTGAGATTGTGCACCTCCACCTGGGGTCCTCAGCTCCATGGGGATGTTCCTGTTTCCTGTGGGAGGACAAGACACTTTGATTTCTCTCCCACATCCCCAGAAAGAAGGGAGGAATCATGCTATGCAGCAGCCCAGGGTTTCTGGCTGTGTCCTGTTCTGGTGGGATAACCTAGCATTTGCAAGAGGAACGGGGCTTCATTGGGGTGTTGGATGGCACAAGCCCAGAGGGGACAAGGACAACCTGTTCCATAGGGCAAGGGGTGAGGAGTCAGCAGGGAAAAGGATGTGGGTTCAGTGGGTCACGTGCACTCACAATGATGGGCCACAGGGGGCACCCACCCAGGGCCACATCCCCAGCAGTTTCTGCTTCCCTGATGCTTGGGCTCCCTCTATCACCACCCCTAACACCTTGTCTGGCTTGGCTGCACCTGGCTAGTTGCGTTGTCTTCCCCCATACCTCCCTCAGTACACCTCAAATGTAGAATTCTCAGACACCCAAAGGAATGACACTCCAAGCCCTGCAGCCCCCAACTGTTCCTTTTATACCCCCCAGGCAGCGTGAACGTTCTCCCCCTCTCCAAAAAAGTTTACTGCACAAAGCAGTGAATCCTCCTCATTGCTTGTGTTTTCCTGAAACAGATGGAGATTTTTCGTGGAGAAGTTTGGGATCTGCATGGCAGCTCACCTGAGTAGGCACAGAGCTCTGCTGTGCTGTACAGAGCTGTGCTGTCCTCATCCTGAGCCCAAGATCTTGTCCCCATATCTGTTCTTCATACCTTGTACCCAGATCTGCTCCCCACACCTGCTCCCTAGAGCTGGATCCCACAGAGCTCTTCCCAGTACAGAGTTCCCAGATCGGGTTCCCATGACCCAGGCATGAACACCTGGTCTGCAGATCTGCTCCCCCAGACCTGCTGCCCAGACCTGATCCTTAGATCTGGATCACAGCTCTTGGCCCCATATAGCCCAGTAGATTGCAACAGCTTGCCAGTGAGGGGCACTGTAGTTTCCAGAAGCCAGCCATGGCTGGCTGGTGGGGGTCCACCACCGCACTTGGGAGATTCCAGCAGCTTGCCGGCAAGGGTCCACTGTAGCTCCTGGAGAGCCAGGCATGGCTCTTCGGTGTGAGTCTGCTGTGGCACTTAGGAAACCACTGCTGGTCATTAGCGGGGGTCCGCTGCCACGCCCTCAGTCCGACGCAGGTCATTGGCAGGGTTCCGCTGCCACACCCGGGAGACCACAGCAGCTCACCAGTGAGGTTGCGCTGCAGCTCCTGGAGGCCTGCTGCAGCTGGCAGACCTGGTCTCAAGACGTGCTCCACCAGGACCTGCTCCCTACACCTTCTCCTCACACCTGTTCCACAGATCTGGTCCCTAGACATACTCGCTAGAGCTGCTCCCCAGAGCTGGCTCCACAGACCTGTTCTGCACACCTGTTCCACCTATCTGGTCTTGAGAACTGCTCCCCAGACTGGTTTCCCAGAGGTGGTCCCCAGACTGGTTTCCCAGAAGTGGTCTGCAGACCTGCTCCCCAGATCTGTTCTTCAGTTCTGCTCTCACAAACCTGGTATCCAGACCTGCTCTTCACACCTGGTCTCCAGTTCTACCCCCAAGATCTGGTCTCCAGAGCTAGTTCACAGACGTGGTCCCCACTCCTGGTGCCCAGACATGGTTCCCGGATCTGGTCCCCAGACCGGCACTCCTGAGAGCTGGTCTCCTGACTTGGTCATCAGAGTGGGTGCCCAGGGCTTCTCCTCAGAGTTAGTGCCCAGGACTGATTCCTAGACCAGGTTCCCAGATCAGCTCTCCAGACCTTCTCCCCACACCTCTTCCGCAGATCTGGTCCCCAGAAGTGCTCACTGCACATGGCAGTGAGCATGTGGCAAGTCTGTAGGAGTGAAGCAATGTGTTGTTTGATGAATAGTTTTCCATTTCTAAGAAGAATCACAAAAAATCCCAGAAAATCTCCAAAGATAACAATGCCAGTGAATCTCAGCAGAACTGGGATCTGCAGCAAGTGGTCTGTCTTATGTTCCTTTCGTGAGCTCCACCACAACCACTCCCTCACTCACCCTAAGAAGAAGAAGAAGCGGAAAAAAAAGAAACTTGGTATAAAGCAAAAGTAAGAGAAGAAAATAAGCAAAGGCTGCATGGAAGCACAGAGAGAAAAGAAAATTATCCTCTACTTCCCCTCAAAAAGTGAGGTTTGGCCGTCTCCTGGCAAGCAGGGCCTCAATACTCATAGCGATCGTTCGGGAGGACAGATGTCTTCATAATGAGAGCTCCCCGCTTTCCTTCCCCTTTGCCGCCTTTTATTGCTGAGTGTGACATCACATGGTATGGAATATCCCTTTGGATGGTATGGGTCAGTTGCCCTGGCGATGTCCCCTCCTGCCTCTTTCCCACCCTCCACTTCCTGGCTTTGGAGGTGTTGGAGAAAGAATCTTGATGTTGTGCCAACACTGGAGTTCTAGCTCCAAGTGCAGAGCACAGCACTCTAGAGACTACTGTGGAGAATGTTAATTCTGTCCCAGGCAGTCCCAGTACAGCTCCATAAATCAGGGTTCCCAGCTTCAGGAAAAAAAAAAAAAAAAAAAGCCTATGCTATTCCCTTTGTCTTTGAGAGTTTGGCTCCATTTGACTTTTGAATATATCACCTAGCAATGCAATTTGAATAGACAGCTAAATACAAAGATTAGACGTATTCTAATATGAACTCACTGTGTAGTATCCTAAGAGTAAAAATCACTCCCCTGTACAGGGAGACCCTGGCCCAACATGGGACCCTTCTTCTCTGAGGATGTGCAGAAGGAAAAGTGCAGATGCTTATTCATCCCTGTACACTCGTTGCTCCTAACATCTCCCAGACTGTCTCCTGTAATGGTCTGCAGCCCCTGCTCTCCCTACAGAAAACACTTCTAGTTCTTCCAGGGAGGCAGGACTCCAATTTCCCCCCTCCAGAAATGATGGGATGCCATCTTGACCCTATCTTGCCCTCCTCAATGTCACATCTCACCAAGGTCTGACAGTGCCATCAAGGCTGCCAGGAAAAGCAGGACCATGTCACGCTCTCACCTTCACAGGGTGCCCACGTAGTGCCTGGAAAGAGGGAGCTCAAGCTTGCAAGTTCACTTCCCCCTCTGCCAGCTCAAAGCAGCCTCTAAACCTCAGCACAGAGGGTGGAGCAAAACTCTCTCCCTAGTCTCAAGACTAGTGGTTAAAGCAGTCAGAAAGGAATCCAGCCAATCTTTGCTGTGCCCTAGGATCCCCATGGCCAGCCAGAAGTGTTCAAGCACCGTGAGCGTCACACTTGTGCAGTTAGCTCAAAACTGCAGGCATGTGAAGGCTAGGACATTTCACTTGGTCAGCGGTAAGGCAAAAGGGCAACGACATCGCCCCTGTCTGCTTCCCTCTTCTGGCCCCTTCTGGCAGGTGGGCAGCCCCAGCAAGGGGCAAGTGTCCCCATTGGCCTCCCTCTGCCATCCAACCTGCAAGGGGACTTCCAAGCAACGCCAGGACGCCCACGTGGCTCCGGCTGTGGCTGTGTCTCTGGCAGGCTGCTGCCATCTCCGTTCAGCTGCACCCAGACTCCAGACCCTTTCAGCAGAACCAAAGTGCCTTGGAGGGGCCGGGCTGGCGGGGGAACCCCCGCGGCTCCTCGTAAGACTTGTTCTCCAGACCCCTCACCAGCTTCGTAGCCCTTCTCTGCACTTGCTCTGGCACCTCCATGCCCTTCTTGTAGTGAGGGGCCCAAAACTGAACACAGTACTCGAGGTGCAGCCTCACCAGAGCCGAGTACAGGGGGACGATCACTTCCCATGACCTGCTGGCCACACTGCTTCTGATACAAGCCAGGATGCTGTTGGCCTTCTTGGCCCCCTGAGCACACTGCTGGCTCATATTCAGCCGACTATCAACCAATACTCCCAGGTCCTTCTCTGCCAGGCAGCTTTCCAAGCACTCATCTCCCAGCCTGTAGCTCTGCTTGGAGTTGTTGTGCCCCAGGTGCAGGACCCGGCACTTGGCCTTGTTGAACTTCATACGGTTGGCCTCAGCTCATCCAAATCATTCTGCAGAGCCTTCCTTCCTCGAGCAGATCGACACATGCACCTAACTTGGTGTCATCTGAAAACTTACTGAGGGTGCACTCGATCCTCTCTTCCACATCATCAATAAAGATATTAAAGAGAACTGGCTCTAGTACTGAGCCCTGGGGGACGCCACTAGTGACTAGCCTCCAGCTGGATTTGACTCCATTCAAGGCCAATAGGCCTTGGTCAAAAGGCACGTCCAGGTCAGCAGGGGGCGTAACAGCGAAAGCCTTCGACGGCTGTAGCAGCAGCGGGGCCAGTGGCATAGATTGTGGCCCCACGTGGCTCTTTAAAGCCTCAGAGACTGCTTGCCAGGTGCCGAGCAATCCCACTGCAACCTTGTCGTTTTTAGTAGCAGTCACACACCTTGACCTCAATTTGGTCCCATATTTCAGGATCATAAACCGTCTGATTGTTAATAAGGAGAATAAGATGTAAGGTTACCAGGACTGTCTTTGTTCCAAAGGACGTATGATTCCCCATAATGCGCAACTGCTTACCAGCAAGGGGCAGTTGTGTGCACAGGTCCGCTTCTTTCAGCTTTATCTTCTTTCCAGCTCTGGTGCGCCTATTTCCAGCAACTTTCTGTACGAGCTTCTTTGAGCAGTTTGCTGAGTTTGGCCGAACCTATCTTCATGAGGAGATCAGTGTGCCTGTTCCAGTCCTGGTCTCCGTTCTGCTAGCCTGTTCCTTTTCATTCCTTCTTTCTGCTCCTTTACTAATGACATAACTTCATCGTGTTGCCTTCTTTTTTTTCTTTTTTCTTTTTTTTTTTCAATCTTGAGGGCAGGCTCCCCTCTTACACCCTTCTCTCCACAGCAGTTCTTTTCAAAACAACTTTTCATTGGTCAAACAACTTTGAATATAACAACAACAGCAAACACCCAGAAATTTCCATGCCTTATGGGCTGGAGAACAAGTACTGGAGACTGCATGGAGTCTCCTGAATCACCCTTCTTTGTTCCCTCTAAGTTCTTTTACATTCCTGATGGACTCATCTTTAGGAGTCTAATGTTATCATTAATCACGGGGCTTGCCAACCCCCATGGCCACACTCCCACATCTCCCCCTTCTTTATTAATATCTACCATTTTTTCGACTCGAATTACCACTCCATATATAACAGCAGCAAGGGGCAAGAATCCCCAGTGGCCTCCCCCTCCCATCCAGAACCCAGCCCCAGACACAGAGGTCTGCACCCACCTCTGCTGTCAATGAAGATGGGATTGCTTCCCCCACCTCTTCCCCACAACCCCCTTGGAAAAGCCACGTTCTCTCAAGTTGGCAGGGAAGGACGCCCCACCACAGCCCTCTGCTCAGCAGTCAGCAGCTCTGCACACACACACAGGAGTGAATCCTGCACCAAGGGCAGACCTTCAGCAGCACTGGCTAGTGCAGCAAACTCCTCTACAACTCAGTCCTTTGGCAAGATCCAAGGTTCCAACACGTGTCATTAGAGTGAGTGACCAGAACAGATATTTGTTGTATTGCCAGGACATCATCTCAGCACCAGAGGTCCTGGATTTGGGCTTAGGAAGAAACCTGTACAACAAGCTCTTGGAAAAAAGACCACTGCAGAAAACGGAGGAAACCCAATGTGGCTGTTCTGATGCTCCCTCGGGCCCATGCTGTTTAACTCCAGGCCCTGCAAGGGGACTTCCAAGCACCGGCAGCGACCCCACGCGGCCCGACTGTGGCTGTGCCCCCGCCTCGCCCACGCCCCACCTGCCCGGCCCCACGCCCTGCGGGGCACCCCCTGATGCCTCCAGCTGCACAGGCCGTTGGCTGCCTTTGCTGCAAGGGCGCGCTGCTGGCTCGTGTGTGGCTGGGTGCCTCCTGCACCCAAAAGCCTTTCCTGAGGGTTTGCTTCCCTGGCAGCCAGCCCCCATCCTGAATTACTCTGGGGGCTCTTCCTGCCCAAGAGGAAAATCCTTTTCTTTGCTCCTTTGCACCAAAATGAGGTTCTGGTCAGCCCCTTTCTCCAGCCAGCCTGTATTCTCCACAGCACATTTGTGACCTATGCAGTCACCACCTGTGTGCCCTGGTTGGGGACCATGCACAAACTGACCGAGGGTGCCCTCCTTCCGACTGCTTGTGGCCCTAATGAAAGCATTCAGCAGGACTGGGTGTCTGGCACTGCCAGCTGCTACTCAGGCAGAAGGTGCCCTCCATGCCAAAGCTGCAGGCTCAGGCCTGCGGGAAGGGCTCCCAGGAACTATGAAAACTGTGCTTAATGGGCAGCCATGCTGAAGCACTCCAAACACTGAGCATTCCTCTGGTGCAAGGGGAGGATCAATTTACTCTTGCCACTGTGTGATCCCTTTGCTGTGAAATCCCACATGTGGAGGAGTGACAGTTGTCCCTTTGCCTTCAGGAGAACCAGTCTAACATGGGGTGCATGAGAATCTGCCTGCTTTCCGATGTATTTCTGAGACAATGCTGGCAGGCCTTTCTAGACAAGTGAGAGGAGATAGGCCTGGCTTCAGCACTGACTCCCAGGAGGACCTGGCAGTGTCTACGGGTGGAAATCTCTGACTGACAGACACTATCAGGAGCCTTACAGCAGTCTGCTTCTCCTGTATATCCCAAGGTCAACTATGGACAGCCACTCAGAGGCACTCCAAATGTTGCTATCCTGAATTAAACCAAGGATCCAAACTGTCCTGATATGGTCCTTGTTTGGGCCTGAAGATGGCAGGAACAGAGGGTGATTGTTGCAGCGGGACGAAAAGGAGGGCTCAGGAGAAAGGAGCTGTATTTTTCAGTGCCTCTTCCCTGCACACACCTCTGAGAGGCTGGTGCCATCTGCGTTCAGCTGCTCTCAGGCTCCTTCTGACAATGGGAACCCGCTCCCCTGCAGGACTCATGCACAGAGCACAGGAGAGTGCTACAACTGTGCACATTCCCTCGTGATAAAGGGGAAACAAGGACACAGTCACGTGCTCATCTATACCTGCATGGAGTCCTGGACAAATCTCTGCACCCACGTGCCTTCACACAAAGCTAGCTGCACAGTGGTTGTCACAAGACAAGAGCAGATGTGTGAACAAAAGCAACCGGGCACTCAGGTGAGTGCACAAGGTGAGCCTACAAGGACAGGTGCTATATTATGGACCTCGTTCTCATAGTACCTGGGGTTGGTGGGACTGTGAAGCTCAAGGGCAGCCTTGGCTGCAGTTACTGTGAAATGGTGGAATTTAGGTTCCTGAGCACAGTGAGGAGGAAGCACAAGAAACTTGCTGCCCTGGACTTCTGGAGAGCAGACTTTGGCCTGCTGAGGCATCTTCTTGGTAGAGTACCATGATACAAAGCCCTGAGAGGACATGGGCCCAAGAAGGCTGGTTAATATTCAAGGATCATCTCCTCCAAGTTCAGGAGTGATGCATCCCACCAAAGAAGGAGTCAGGCAAAATGCCAGGATACCTACATGGATGAACATGGAGCAACTGGCTGAATTCAAACATGACAGAGAAGGCCATAGAGGGTGGGAGCAAGGACAGGTAGACTGGAAAGAATATAGATACATAGTCTGATGAGGCAAGATAGGAATCAAGTTAGGAGAGCTAAATCGAAGCCAGAATTGAATTTGGCCAAGGAAAGAAGCTTTGTTTCCATGCTTGTCTGCCTTGACAGAAGCACGTCCAGAATGTGGAGGGAGGTGATTCACGGCCTGTGCTCCACTTGAGTGAGACCTGACCTGGAGTGCTGTGTTCAGCTTTGGGGCTCCCAGCACGAGAAAGATATAGACCTGTTCAAGTGGGTTCAGAGCAGAGCCATGGAGATGATCAGAGGGGACCCATCCAGCACGTCCAGTGAGTCTTCTGCCCTCACTGATGCATTCCTGCCCTAGAAGTCCTTGGACATTTCATCCCAGCACTCTAAAGAAACCATCACTGCAGAATGGCCATGGCCTAGATCTGCAAATGAAAAGGCAGCAGTGCAGGAAACCAGCACACAGCCCATATCATTTGTTGGGATGGTTTGAATTCAAGATGAGCTTGTCAGAAAATTGTTACCTCTGCCAAGGGTGCCTCTGGGCCTGTGGCAATGAAGTACCAGTATAAAAGGCAGCCCAGCTCTCTGCTCTCTCATCCAATTCTGTTGCCTCATCCTCCTTGGTAACCAGGTGAGTCTGAAGCCCTCTCTCCTCCTCTTCTCAAGTAGAAGGGATCTTGCATTAATAGACATCTCATCTGGTGGTGGTTCAGAGCTATGCTGGGCCTTGGAGTTCCTTCCCATGGGAGAGGGGTGGAGAGAGACGTTCTGTGTAGAGAGAGGCTGGGACATGGTGCAGAGGTAGCCTTTTGGGTTATATGCAACGTGATTGTCTCATTAGATCAGCCTGCGCTTAGAAGGCCCCTGTCAGTACAAGGCACTGAAGACCATGAACCTCCTGGCATAGCCTCCACATCCACCCTCACCAGTTGCCTTAGCTCCTTTGTGGTGGGATAATGGGGCTGCTCCTCACCATATGCTCTTCTTCCTCTCTTCCCTCTCTCCCAGGTGCATCTCCAGCCCAAGACATGTCCTGCTACAACCAGTGCCTGCCATGCCGGCCCTGTGGCCCGACCCCGTTGGCCAGCAGCTGCAACGAGCCCTGCGTCAGGCAGTGCCAGAACTCCACCGTCGTCATTGAGCCCTCTCCCGTAGTGGTGACCCTGCCTGGCCCCATCCTCAGCTCCTTCCCGCAGAACACCGTTGTAGGATCCTCCACCTCTGCTGCCGTTGGCAGCATCCTCAGCTGTGACGGAGTCCCCATCACCTCCGGGTGCTGTGATCTCTCAGGCATTTCCAGCCGCTACTGTGGCAGAAGATGCCTGCCCTGCTAAAGCCACTGCCCATGGCCCTGGGGTTCCAGCACGACCATGGTGCTGGACAACAGAAGGAGGAGTCTTCAGGCCATTGCTTTCAGAATGACGGACCTTCCTCACCTCCTCTGGCAAACATTGGCAGGAGCCTGACCAGGGGCTACCCTGAGATTTCTGAAAACTCGGCCCATGTCTCTCAGTAGGCCCTGGAGATCCCTGCACTGAAGGGCCTCTGCTCAGAGTGACCTCCTTTTCCTCTGTACACTCATTAAAGTTTCCGGCAACCCAGCCTTGGCTGTAGATGTTTCTTCCCTCTGCGTATGCCCTCCTGAGCCGCCCAGCAAGAATTGTCTTGCCCTTGGTGGGTATAAGATGGGTGTTTAAGGAGCCTTTTCCCCACTCCCAGAACAATGGGAGGTTGCGACATGCTGCAGAGGGTCCTCTCTTGGACAATGCCCATTGGAGCTGAAGAAGACATTCCTCACTTTCACAGAGCAAGGGGCAATCTACCCTTGCCTTGCAGCATCTCTGCCCACAGCTCCCCCCTGTCCTGCAAACAGAGAGCACAACCTCTGCTGTCCTCATGGAAGAAGCTACGAGTCTGTGGGAGGCTGTGGAGGCTTGGCACCCTGTAGGCTCTTAGGAACGGGCTTCTTCTTGCTCAGGACAGTGCTGTGCTGGGGAAGCAGGTGGGGACAGAAGATGGATGGCAGATGTGGGGAATGGGTGGAATAAGTGCAGGGATGCCCGACTGCTTCTACTCCACCCTCATCTTCCCTCGTTTGCCCTACCTCAGGGCTATGGCCAGCACACATGGGCATGTGCGGCAGGAACACGTGTCCCATGAGGCCCAACCGCCCCCAGCACGGCACTTGGCAGGGCCCAGGTGATGGCACACATACAGGGCTGATCCCCTTCCACAAGTCAGCATTGGTATTCCCCGTCACGGAACATACACGTAAATCTCTAGTCCCTGAGGATCCTGAACCCATATGGGGTGGGTCAGTGCAGAGACAGCAGGCAGTTTGCATGCCCCCATGCTGCTCTAGGGTGCCCACTTGCCCCCAAGCATGCAACAGCTTTCCTCAGGTGCAGGATGTGCACTCACAGGGACTTCCTCACTCTCATTTCCACTTTTCCTGACCATTTGCTTTGCTCCTGCTCAGGCAAGTTGTTTCTCTGTTTCTTCTTTTGGTTATGTAGAGGCTATGTTCAGGACGCGTGCAGCTCTCTGTTGCCCAGTTGCACTTCAAGGATGCCCATTGTTTCCAGGCCCTGCTTGACTGCTGGCAGACATTTTTCCTGTCAGTGCTTTGCAGCCCCTTGATGTTTCTCATCAGTATCTCATTAGAGCCTGGTTACATCTATAACAGGTCCCATCAGAAGGGCACCTTGTCCTTCCCTGCTCAATTACAGAGCTGTTTTCTTATGGATCCACTTATGGCCCTGCTTGGTACAGCCTTGTCATGTCCAGAAGGAATCAGCCATGCAGGCAAGAGAGATGAGCCAAAGGTGCGCTGGGGTAAACCCTTTGTCTTTCCTGGTGCCAGAGGAATGGTGTCAGCCACAGCTGCAAGAGAATGCAACCAATTTAGCCCAGGTGAACGTATGGCACTGCCAGGGCTAAGGTGTGGGGTAGACCACAGGAAAGAGCTCTGACAAACATTTCTGCTTTGTTGGGATGGCTCATTGCCCTGGAAGGGCTTGGCCCATGTTGCAACCCAAAACATGACTGGTAGTTCCTGGAGACATTGGTTTCTTAATTGCTCTGCTGTTTATTGCCTACCTTGAATGCCCCAGGACACTGATAGCAATATATAAACCTTGTGTGTAGTTCTGGGTGCATGTCATTGGCAAACAGATAAAAGTGTGGTTGGGATCTGCCTCTGAGTTTGAACAAGGCAGATTAGCTTGGATGAGACACCCACTACGCTGAGAAAACACATTTGCTCTGAAATACGACATGTGAAGCTGCCCCTTTGCCTTCAGGAGAACCAGCCAGACATGGGCTGGATGGGAATCTGTCCCCTCTGCGATGCATTTCTGAGACAATGCTGGCCGGCCTTTATAGACAACTGTGAGGAGATAGGCCTGTCTCCAGCACTGACTCCCAGAAGAACCTGGCAGTGTCCAGGGGCGGAAATCCCTGACTGACAGGCACTCTCAGGAATCTCACAGCAGTCTGCTTCTCTTATACATCCCAAGGTCATCGATGGACAGCCACGCTGAGGCACTCCAAACATTGTTACCCTGAATTAAACCAAGGATCCAAACTGTCCTGATTCGGTCCTTGTTTGGGCCTGAATTTGGGAGAAACTGAGGAACATTGTTGCAGCGTGAGGAAAAGGAGGGCTCAGGAGAAAGGGGCTGTGTTTCAGTGCCGCTTCCCTGCACACACCTCTGCCAGGCTGCTGCCATCTCCGTTCAGCTGCACCCAGGCTCCAGACCCTTTCAGCAGAACCGAAGTGCCTTGGAGGGGCCGGGCTGGCGGGGGAACCCCCGCGGCTGCGGGACGAGGTGGTCCTGGCGGGCGGAGCGGCAGCGCCCCCTGGGGGCTGTGCCCCTGCCTCGCCCCCGCCACACACGCCCGGCCCCGCCCGCCACGGTTCCTGCACGGCCGCAGCCCCGGCTCCTCTCCCCGTGGCTCTCAGGGCGCAGTAATACACCGCCGCGTCCCGAAGCTGGGGCTCGGTGAGCCACAGGGCGCTGGACCGGCGGTCTGCTGCCACCACGAGCCGCCCCGGCAGGTCCCTCAGTGCATTGGAGCCTTTAGTACCGAACACTAGGAATGTAGGTCCTTGGCCCGGGAGATGGCGGTACCAGTAGATGGAGTAACCAGTCTGCATGTTGGGGTGTGAGCAGGTGATGTTGATGCTGGTGCCCTCGGTGGTCTGTGCCTGTGGCTCCTGCTGCACCTGGGCTCTGCACACAGCCACTGCCGAGAAAGAAAGCAGGAGAAAACTCAGAAAATGTCTTTCCTGCACTGAAAATATCACGCAGGGGGAGAGGGGAGAAGAAAACGGTTGATAGCCGATGCGAGCTTTTTCTCAGAAGAAAGCACACAAAGGCATTTTAGTGGGAATGGTTATTAGGGGACCAAGTCGGAGCAGGACTGTTTGGGAGGAGAGTCCGAGCCAGGAGGAGAAGGGAAGCAGGCAGCAATGAGTGGGGGTGTGCCGAAAGGAGAGGAGGAAGGCAGGGAGCAAGGCAAGGTGGGAGGCAACGGCCGGCTGAGCTCGCTGGAGGCAGGCGGGATGGCTGCAGAGGGAGGCCAGAGGGGAGCGAGGTCCGTAAGAAGCCGGCGGGCCAGAAGCGAGGGCAGCCCCGTCCCGTCCCTTCCCGTCCCGTCCCGTCCCCGGCGCCGGCAGCCCCGCGCACCCAGGAGCACCGCGGCCAGCGCCGCCAGCCCTGCGGCCCGGCCCTGCCGCATCCCGCCGCTCCGCCGCCCGCGCCGCGCTGCCCCCGCCAGCCCCGGCTCTGCTCCGCCCGCGGCGCCTCCTCCCCGCCGCCGCCGCCCGGCGCCGCCAGCTCCGCCCCGGGGCCGCTCGGGGCCGCTCGGGGGCTGGCCCGGGCTGCGAGTGCTGGGCGCCTGTGGGCGGGCAGGGCTTCGGCTGCTGCCCGCGGGGCTCTGCCCGTCCTGCAGCCCAGCCCGGGATAGGAGAGGGAGTGGGAGTTGGAGCGGGAGATGGAGCCGGAGCGAAAGGGCGAGGGAGCGGAGACAGCAGCTGCCCGTCTGCTACGGCATCTCCTTTGGGAGTGGGAAGGGGAGAGGAGGGCAGTGAACGGGGTAGGAGATGAGTAGGGAGAGAGGAGAGAAGCGGGAGAGGAGAAAGCAGCTGCCTGCCTGAAGCGTCCCCAGCGGAGGGCAACGGGTCAGGCTGGGCTGGGCCTGGGAGCTTGGTGCTGTGGTGTGCTGGTATCACAGCTGTGGCCGGCACTGCTGCAGGTGTGGAAAGCCAGCAGCAGGAACGGGTCCGGGGACACAGTGCCCCGACAGCACCCCAAACCGTACGGGGCCCTGCTGTCTGGCACTGCCCATTGAGCTGTCATCGTCGGTCGAGCGTCTCTGCCCAGATTGAGGGGCACAGTTGCCACTTTCCCATTTACAGGCTTCACGGCAATAGTAGCTGAGCACGTACCTGGGAGACACACAGGCAGGGACAAGCATGCCCATTTGGGGAAGATAGATGCAGGCCAGTACCCCCAGTAGCTGCTTTTGGAGACCCCAAATGGACTTGCCACATTTTCCTGGAGGCTGAGACCCCCTTTCCCTGCTTGGGGGACCCCTGGCTCCAGCAGCTGACAGCACAGGGCAGGGATGTCCTCGCGCTGAGTCTGACTCCAGCGGCTAGCATCAAATCCACTTCTGCCACTCCATGAGGAATTGCTACGTTCTCCTTGCAGCACATGTGTGCATGGGACAGAGCGAGATTATGGAGACGTAAGGAAATATTCCAGAAGAGGACAGGACAGACAGTGGTGCTCATGTGCAGGGCCCAGCCACGCAAGTACAGGCTGCAGCCCCTTTTACACCCTGCTCTGTCTGCCCTAGTGTACTCCTCCCGGCTCCCATTTCCCTGCACGTCCCCTCATGGGGTTGTATAGGTCTGTCCTGCACCCACCCCAGCGTGTGTCCTAGCCCACAGCTGTAGGAGGTGCAAGGCCCAAGCTGATCTCCCTGTGGCTTCTTGATAGGCCACCAACTGGTGTTGTGACTGCCCACATTTGATCTCTTCTCTTCCTCCTTCATCATCTATCAGTCAGGTTTGTATCCGTGTGTGTTGTTTCCAGCTTCCTGCAGTTCTTTCTCTCGGCCCCCCTCCCAAGTGCTGAAGGGCTGCTTCTAGGGTAGGAAACAAGGAGGGAGGAGCTGAAAGGTAAGAAAGAAAATAAGGGCTGCTGTGGAAGCAGTGATGGCAGCTTCCCCAAGACCTCCATGTCAGAAGAGAGTAGAGAAAACAGCATGGCCCTGAAAGCAGAGACAGCGAATACAGCAGAGGAAACAAAGAAACAACCTCCCTCTGTTTCTCAGGTTTCGCATGGCTTCCTTCACCTTCTCGGTCTTTACGCTGTAGGTTGGTGCATGGAGCAGAGGGAATCACAGCCCTGGAGAAGATGGACACCACTTTGTTGTGGGACAAGTTGGCAATGGGGTGGGTATAGAGGAGGGAACGTAGCCCCCGGCATGATACAAGTGCAGGGAAGTGAGAGTGAGCAGACAGTGTCTTGTGTCTCCTCACATGTCTACATTCAGAGGGAGACCAGGAGCACCCTGCAGGAGCTCAAGGAGCACAGGAAAACTGGTGGTGCTGTTGTATTCAAGAAGCACAGCAGTCCAGAAGCTCTCTGCAGAAGGCAGCTGCATGACTGACAGCGAGTCCCAGAAGGAGCTGCGATTGTGTAGGGCCAGAGCAGGGCAAACAAAGGGTGAGCACCGCTTGTGCCAAGGAGGGGAGCAGGAGCTCAGCCCACAGGCCTCCCACCAGACTGCAGTTCTGCAGTGGGTGGCAGATGCACGCAGCTTGGTCATAGACCATGAGTGTGAAGAGGACATCCCAGTTTAGGCCCACTAGTGGAGGAAGAGGAGCCAGACCACACCGCTGGAAAAGTAAATTGTCCATAAAGAGGCGTCCTGACCAAGACATGGCACATGTCAGTGAATGGGAGGTTTCCAAAGACAAACTACACAAAAGGATACATGGGCTGTTAGGGCACCACACACGAGTGTATTCTCAGCCTGGATCAAGAGGCAGATGGCTGAGAACTCCAGAATGAAGAGCAGCAGCTCTCAGCTCAGAAAAACCCAGTAGCTACAAAAGAAACCTCTCTCTAGACATTCCCCTCACTCCTGTGGGAAGGAGATAGAGTTGCTGCTCAGGAGTCATTGCCTTCCACCACTCGATATCTTCTGGAGGTAAAACACAGCAGGGCCTCAGCAAGCCAGGATGTTCCTTCAGAGAGAGTAGAAAGTAAAATCAGAACCCTGGAGTTCAGAAGAGCAGCATTTGCTTTCTTCACTGTGTGGACACCTGTCTTTGTGCGTGTGTGCCCAAATATACTTCAGTATGTATCCAGTATTGTCTGTGAGTGCACCCATGAATTCATGCATCTTTTGACATGAGCAGCAGTGTGCATGAGTGGTATTCCCTCTACCCACTGTTGATGTCATGAATCATACCAGTATGTGATCAAGGGTGACCGTGGGAATTAACAGAAACAGTGATCCGTCAACAGCATCCCTCCAAGACTGATATGTGGTGACTGTGCATGATCCTCCTCCAGAGGATCACAGGCTGCACCTCCAGCACGCACGTAGTCCAACCCTGTTTTCAGAGTGGGTCTCATCAGATCAGGTTGCTAAGGATCAAGTCCAGGCAAAGTCTGAACTCTTCCAAGGATGGAGCTCCAATAGCATCTCTTTGGCAATCTGCTCTTGGCAAACCATGCAATCTTGCATGGGAAACCATGTTCTTACACTCTGAATCGGGTGCTACAGAATTAAAGAAAGGATACAAACTCTTGTGGGCCCATCCTTGTTGGGGACTGAAATTGGCAATGAACATCTTAGGGTCAGGAGAAAGAGGGCTTCAGATACAGAAGGCTGCATTTCAACATATGTGCTGTGGGCACTTCTGGGCTATTTTGTTCTGTGATTGTTCAGCTGTTCTCAGGTTCCTTCTTGCTCTCTTCTTGCCAAGTAAACATCCACCACACAGCTCTCTCACACCCCCTGCTGAAAGCAAGATGTTGGGAGAGAATGTGATTTAAGCTAAAGGACTTACAAGTGTAGACAGGGATAATATAATTAAATGAAAAAGAAAGAATAATTATGAAACTAAAGAACGAAGGGTGTTTGGAAACAAATTGAGAGAAAATTATACTCCACTTCCCATCAGCAAGTGATGTTCGTTGAAGTCTTTGGAAGCACTGACTTAGTATGCCCACCCCGTTTTTTCCTTCCCCTTTCACATCTTTCCTGCTGAGTGTGACATCATCCAGTACGGAATATCCCTTTGGTTGGTTTAGGTCAGCTGCCCTGGTGATGTCCCCTCCCAACCTCGTGCTCACGTGCATACCTGCTGGCTTTGTGGGGCTTGGAGAGAGTCTTGATGCTGTGTCAGCACTGCTCCACTATAGCCCCAACGTTGGTGTGATGGCAATGCTGTTCTAGCTCCAAGTGCAGAGCACAGCACTCTAGGGGCTGCCGTGGGGAATGCTGAGTCTGTCCCACATAGCCCCAATACAGGCAAGTGCCCACAAGGGAGGAACATGTGCATGAACGTGACACAGTGTACAGCAAAGATTCTGGACAGCATTTGAGCAAAGCACATGGTTTGACGTGGTAGAGAGGGGAGGTGGACTGGGAGCCTTGCAGAAGGCGCTGGAGCCAGGGCTCTTGACAAGACAATGTCAGCTTTCTTGGGCCTTGAACTTAAGGCCTGAGAATCCTATTTGTTAGCCTGAGTAGCAGTGGCAAGGAAAGTGCTGGAGTGCCCCGACTGATCACTGGTGGGTGTCATGACAGAAATAAGCTTGCGTCATGTAAGGAGTTGGTGTATGATTTTATTCATTTTTTTTTTTGAAGCAAAAAATGAAAGGCATCAAGTTATGGGAGTGAAGAAGGAATTCTCTATGGACAGGATCTGCACTGTGTGTCTTGGGAAAATCCACCTGGCTCTGTCCGATGCTGGTAGAAGGCAGGATCACCTGCACATGAAAGCATTCCTTTCTGTGTACATTCATCTTGTTATTCCTTCTAACTAAAACAGCCACTGACCTGTTGGGCCTTTCTTTTGTGATCCAGAAAGGGCCCTGCACAACCTCTCCCCCTTTACAGACACCCCTGGGTCAGAGCAGGAGGAGGCAAAACAGGCCAGCAGGTTTTCCCTGAGGGCAGTGTCAGCAGGGGTAGGGTCACAGGCAGGAGCTGGGTCACCTGTAATCAAAAGGGCCCCAGAGAGTCCCTAGGGAGTCACCCTGACTGAAAACATTTGCCTTTACTGGACTCTTCCAGCGCGTGAGCTGAGTCTTCTGCCCACACTGACATGTGTTGCCTGGAAATACTTGGGCCTCCCTACCTGCCACTCAGGAGTTGCCTTCTTTGGGGAAAGGGCATAAAGCAGGAAATGAAAAGCAGCATCACAGGAAGGCAACACACATCCCGTATCATTAGGTGGGATGTTTTGCATTCAAGAGCAGCTTGTCAGAAAATAGTCCCTGCTTCAAGGGATGCCTCTGGACATGGGGCAGCTAAGGCCCACTATAAAAGCCAGCCCAGCTCCATGCTCTCTCATCCACTTTTCTGGCCTTCTTCTTGTTGGGAACCAGGTGAGTGTGAAGCCCCTTCTTGTCCCCCTCATTCTCCCACAGGAGGACTCAGTTCCTTGGACCTTTCAGCTGCTCTCAGCTGTGTGCCCTGCCAAATCTTGGGACTGCTGATTGTGGGAGAGTCAAGGGGTAGAAGGTTTGTCATGGAGGAAGATTGGGCCTTTGGTGTGATGGCTCTTATGCTGGAGCCTAGGGTGTATCCCGGCTGCAGTGGCTCTTTTTGGGCCCTGTCAGGATGCAGCCAAGAATGCCTCGCACATCCCTGCACAGCCTCCAGCTCACAGTACTGCCTGTGCCTTGGATCTGTTAGGGTCTGGTAGCAGGCTGCTCCTCATGCATGCCCATGTTAAACTTCCTATCTGCCCTCTCTCCCAGGTGCACCTCCTACCCCCAGACATGTCCTGCTACGACCAGTGCCGGCCATGCCAGCCCTGTGGCCCGACCCCGCTGGCCAGCAGCTGCAACGAGCCCTGCGTCAGGCAGTGCCAGAACTCCACCATTGTCATCCAGCCCTCTCCCGTGGTGGTGACCCTGCCCGGCCCCATCCTCAGCTCCTTCCCGCAGAACACGGCTGTGGGATCCTCCACCTCTGCTGCCGTTGGCAGCATCCTCAGCTGTGACGGAGTCCCCATCAACTCTGGGTGCTGTGACCTCTCCTGCATTACCAGCCGCTACTGTGGCAGCAGGTGCCGCCCCTGCTAAAGATGCCAGACAGTGCCCCAGACCAGGACCCCAGGAACTCACAACATGCTGCTGGCCAAAATGGATGGAAGAAGAGACCTCATGTTGTTGTTCTAAGAGGACCTGACCATCTCTGGCTTTCCTGTAAAGACAGATAGGAAGGGGCCAGCCCGGAGTCTATGATAACATGACCAATGTCTTCCTATCCTGTTTTCTACACGCTCTTTTTCTTTCTTTGCTTTCTTGCCCTCTCCTTTGTGTGAGGCCCCCAGAAACCAGTCTGGAGAGACCTGGTAGACCCTCTCCCCATGTGGGCCAGGTAGATTGATGCCCTGTTGCAAGTCTGCCATTGGAAAAGCTGAACAGATTTTTGTCTGCTCCTGCTTGCTACGATCTTGGGGCCTCCTCTTGGAGTGTCCTCCTTTCCCTCCTGAGCCTTGATAAACATTTGCAGCAACCCTGAGTGTGTCCCTGTGTGGTCTTTTCATCTGGATACTGATGGCCAAGGGAGAAAACCATTCCTTAGTGGGAATAGGCTGGGGGCACTGCCTCATTCCTCTAGGCACTGGAGGGTGGGGCATACTGCAGCAATTCCTCTTTCGGTCAGTGTCTCTTGAAGGTGAGGAAGACATCCCTAGTTCCATCACAGCCAATAGCCACCAGTCCGTGACTTGTGGCATCTCCGCCTAGACAAGCGCTGTTGACATTGTAGGCCCCGGCTCTTGGGGAAGAGTGTTCGTCTTGCTTTGGGTGGAGCTGTGCTGGGGGTGGAGGCTGAGACCAATATGATCCCAAAGGACTGCAGAAACTGGGAATGGGTAATTGTCTTGGTGATGGCCCTCTGTCCCTCATCGACTTTCACATTTCCTCCACCACCTAATCATTGGCATCATGTCTGGGCATGAAGAGCAGGAACAGCTTCCCTGTGCATCCCCATCACACTACAGCACAGCGTCTGGCATGGCCCAGCTGTTGCCAAGATGCATAGGGCTGAGGGGATCCACAGGTTCGTACTGGTACCAGTCCCATCAGGCCACACACTGGAGTCCCCAGGCCCTGTGAACTCAATTCCTTTTTCATGAAGGCAGGCCCAGGGCAGGGACCAATGCCCAAACACTCACGGCTGCTCAGTCTTGCTTTCTTTTCCCCAAGCATGGATCAGCTTTCATCAGGCCCTGGAACTCAGAGACCCCATAGGTGGCACAATTGCACCATGCTCCAGAAAAGACATTCTGTGGGGGCAGGGATCCCAGAGTCTCTGCTGAGACATAGCAGTGAGAATGGGACCTGATTGTGCACTCAGCAAGATCTGTGTATGGGCCCTGAATGTCACAAGGCATGCACCAGCCCAACCACAGGGCACACGCTGGGGGATCTTCTCCCAGGCACCAAGCTCCTCTGTCATTCCCAGAGCCATGAGGATGAAGTGGCCCTTGTGCTCCATGTAGCCCCACTGCTCTCCACACCCAGGTGAGGGTCTTCCCACAGTAGCACACCTCGGGGCCCTGTGGTGTGGGGGTACTTTACTTTCACAAAGAGTCTTGCCCCTAGTCCAAAGACTCTGCTCATGCTCAGGCCTAGCATGGCATTGCCCCAGCTCTGCTGCCTGTGTGCCTGTGCCTGGGCTGGCCAAATCTTGTCAGCCTGGCCTAGCCAGCCTCTTAGGTGGTGCAGGGCCATCTCTGGATGGAGCCTTCATCCAGGCCTCTCTGGAGTCTGGCCTATCAGGTATTAGCCCCGGCCCAGCTCTCACGCTGGGACCGAGACTTTCTACGCATAACACATCCATTGCTTGGGTTAGAGCAATAATCAATAGGTGCTTCTGAGCCAGAATTATCTCCTGGCTAACACTGAAGTCTGAGATGGAGGAGCATATTCACAATTTGGAGATTCACAATTGTCTTGGAAATGACAGAATCCTTCTGGAGAACAAGTCCCCTCCACATCCAGAGTTGTTGCACAGCCAGGGCAGCTTCCTGCACCAGGGTGTCACTCACAGCACAGAAGTACAAGGCGCTGTCAGAAAGCTCGACTTCCTTCAGCCGCAGAACACTGGATTTCCTCTCAGTGTTCAGCTCCGTGGTGAGACGGTCACTCTGCTTGGTGCCTGCTCCTGCTTGATAGGAAATCCGTTGAGGGGCTTGTCCCTTCTTCTGCTGGTACCAGAGCCAGGCATCAGGTGTGGAGCTCTGGTACGTGCAATGGGTCTGGAAGGTGTTTCCCTGCTCCACAGTGACTTGTCCTTCTTGCTGGATGACGGACAACTGCCCCATGGTTTCTGGAAGAAAGAGAAGTTCAGCAGTTCTGTGGGGAAATCTCCAGACAGCCAAACAGGAGTGAATTCAGACCTGTGGGAGATAAGGCCCCCTGTCCTTTACTGGGCTGAAAGGTCCCCAGGGCTGGGGCACAGCAAGGTGGTTTGGGGGCAGAGCTCAGAGCTCCCTGGCCAGAGCGGACCCTGAGGAGAGCTGTACTGTGTGCCTGCTCTTCCTGCCTCACACATCAGGCAGAAGACAGACTGGACACCCTGGTAATGTCCATGGGAGGAGAGCTTTCATGTCCCTGTATCCACTTGGACACAATCTGTCTGTTTCTATAGGAAAGGGAGAAATGAGGGACGGCAGAGACTGATGAAATCTTCTCTGGTTACAGTAGGCGGACCAGAAGAGAGACGCAGAAAAGGGATGGACTGAAAGGACGAGAGAAGCAGGAGAGGTCTCTTCTCCATCTCCTCATTCCAAATTTTGAAGAATAACAGCAATGTGAGATAACCAGTCCAAGAACCAGAAACAGGAGACAACATTTACCAACATTTTCCCTGTGATTCATAATCTCTTTTTCACATAAATGTGGTAAGGCTGACGAGGGCTTCCTGGGAAAAGAAGATTTATGTCTTGATTAAAAGCCAGCACTTACCCAGCAGTTGCCCCAGGAAGGCAGTGAGGATGAGATACCCACGGTGCATGCTGAGACTGTCCCTCTTGTTTGCTGTGGGAGAGAGAGTCAGAAAAGCACCTCCCAGCCCCAAGTTAACAGAGCTGCCGGAAATGACTCTGCTGGGGGAACAGGAGGAGATTCAGCAAAGATAAATTTTCTGTTCTGACTATGCCCCAAATGCTCCCTGGGGTTTCTCCCTCCTCCAGCAGGAGCAACCTCTGAGGATTGTCACAGTCAGGGATCCTGGGAACTCTGGGAGCCGCATCATGTGCAGGGGCTGCTCTTGTCTCCTCTCCCAGTGGGGTCCTCACTTCCCCAGCTACATCTGCCTTCTCTTCTCTCTTCTGCACAGGCACTGTTTGGCCATGGCTGATGTCAGGACAGTCTTCCCCACTGAGCTTGTTCTTTCTACCTTGGGGTCCTCTGCTCCATAGAAATGTTTCTGTTTCCTGTGTGAGGAGTAGATGCCTTTCACATCCCCAGAAAGAAGGGAGGAATCATGCTACGCAGCAGCCAGGGTTTCTGGCTGTGTCCTGTTCTGGTGGGATAACCTAGCATTTGCAAGAGGAACGGGGCTTCATTGGGGTGTTGGATGGCATGAGCCTAGAGGGGACAAGGACAACCTGTTCCATCGGGCAAGGGGTGAGGCGTCAGCAGGGAAAAGGATGTGGGTTCAGTGTGTCACGTGCACTCACAATGATGGGCCACAGGGGGCACTCACCCAGGGCCACGTCCCCAGCAGTTTCTGCTTCCCTGATGCTTGGGCCCCCTCTATCACCACCCCTAACACCTTGTCTGGCTAGGCTGCGCCTGGCTAGTTGCCTTGTCAATGCCTCAGATGTGTACTTTTCAGACATCCAAAGGAATGACACTCCAAGCCCTGCAGCCCCCAACTGCTCCTTTCATAGCCCCCAGGCAGTGTGAACGTTCTCCCTCTCTCCAAAAATATTTACCGCATGAAGCAGTGAATCCTCTTCACTGCCTGTGGTGTCCCGAAACAGAAGGAGATTGTTCATGGAGAAGTTTGGGATCTGCATGGCAGCTGGCCTGAATAGGCACAGAGCTCTGCTGTGCTGTACAGAGCTGTGCTGTCCACATCCTTTGGCACGTGGTAGTGTGCATGTGGCAAGTCTGTAGGAGTGAAGCAACGTGTTGTTGTTCGATGAATAGAGCTCTCCATTTCAAAGAAGAATTACACAAAATCCCAGAAAATCTCCAAAGAAAACAATGCCAGTGAATCTCAGCAGGAGCAGGATCTGCAGCATGTGCCTTGCCCTGACAAGTGGTCTGTCTTATGTTCCTTGGTGAGCTCCACCACAACCACTCTCTTACTCCCCCTCATCAGAAGAGGGTGAGAAGAAAAAAAATTAATATAAGGGAAAAGTAAGAGAGAGAAATAAGCAAGGGCTGCACAGAAGCACAGAGAGAAAAGAAAATTATTCTCTACTTCCCCTCAAAAAGTGAGGTTTGGCCATCTCCTGGCAAGCAGGGCCTCAATACTCATAGCGATTGTTTGGGAGGACAGATGTCTTCATAATGAGAGCTCCCCGCTTTCCTTCCCCTTTGCCGCCTTTTATTGCTGAGTGTGACATCACATGGAATGGAATATCCCTTTGGATGATATGGGTCAGCTGCCATGGTGATGTCCCCTCCCTCCTTTTGCCAACCCTCCACTTCCTGGCTTTGGAGGTGTTGGAGAAAGAATCTTGATGTTGTGCCAGCGCTGGTCCATAATTGCCCAAACATTGTTGTGATGGCAGTGGAGTTCTAGCTCTAAGTGCAGAGCACAGCACCCTAGGGGCTACTGTGGGGAATGTTAATTCTGTCCCAGACAGTCCCAGTACAGCTCCATAAATCAGGGACAACTCTTTGGGCCTGACTATTCAGCCAGTTTCTAACCCAATGAAGCATGCGCCAGTCCAAGCCATGAGCAGCCAGTTTCTTGAGGAGAATGCTGTGGGAAACGGTGTCAAAAGCCTTGCTGAAGTCAAGGTAGACCACATCCACAGCCTTTCCCTCATCCACCCAGAGCGTCACTGTGTCATAGAAGGAGATCAGGTTCGTCAAGCAGGACCTGCCTTTCATAAACTCATGCTGACTGGGCCTGATCGCCTTCCAGCCCACTCCTTCTCAATTTTCCACATTGCAGCTAACAGCCAGCTAACTCTCCTTCTTTCCTTTTCTCTTTCCTTACTGTACATGTATCTTTCCATTTATTAAATTCATTCCTAGAAGGATTTGGATTGTGGTGTATTGAGCTTAGCCATTGCTGCTTTGCATCTTGCCTTCCATTTCCAAGAAAACCCTTTCACAGTGGGGCCCATTTCTCAAGGGAACCATTCATTATTCTAACACAAGGCTCCTGCTGACTACACCCAGCTCTGTCTCCCAACACTACAGAGCACTGGCAGGTTCTCTACGGATCCTTGGCGGAATGAGGACCGGCCACTGGTTGTGGTTGTAACTAGAGATTTATTATTATATAATAAATTACTAGAAATACTAAAAATTACTACAAAATCCTAAAGCTTACTACAAATAAATTGCTGGTTTGATTACTAGCTTGATAACACCAATGCCCTTTCTCGCCACAATGGTGGGTATCTCGGCATGCTGGGGCCAGTGAGAGGGAGAGACAAGGAGGCAGGGGTGCACATTAACAGCCCCTTCCACATGATGGATATTTGCCTTGCTGTTGGTTATGCTAACCACACTGCCAGGCATCAGGAGCAGGGGCTGCCACTCACACCTGGCTCACCACAAGCCCCAGGTGTCCTTGCTGGGCAGGCTCAGCTCAGAGCGCTATGCAAACTGTGATGAGACGGAACTGCACCTCACAGCACCCACACCTTCCTGTATAAAGCTGCAAGCTGAGGGCACCAGTGTGGGCTCAGTGCACACAGGTAGACAGCGCTGTCCTGGAGCTTGGCATCTTGCACGTGGAGAAGCACCTGGGAGTTCTCCATGGAGAGCACAGAGGAGATCCTCTCAGAATGCACATGAGGCTTGAACTTGCTCACCTGCAGCAAGAACTGAGGGGACTGGGTCAGGCGCTGCTGGTACCAGAAGATGTAGGGAGCAGAGTAGCTGGTGGAGAAATTGCAGTGCAGAGTAGCGTTGTGTCCCACCTGGATGGCAGTTTCTTGTGCAAACTGCACCACAGAGTCCTTCTGTGCATGACCTGCAAAGCCAGAACAGCATCTCAGCACTGCTTGAAGATGTATCTGTTCTCCCCCTCTCTCTCCTGTGTCTATCAGCTCACCAACTTGTTCACTTTCCCCACTCTCCATCTCCCTTTTCATGGGCTATATAATGCTGAGCTAAGTACACATGCACTCTTCTTTCTGCAGGTGCTATTCAATTCCCATAACCAAGTCTGTCAGCTTACGTACTTTTTAGGAGTATCTCACCAGGATTTGAGTCCTTATGTACCTGTGAACAATGCATGTATGAATGCTAGGCATCTGCAAAGGAAAAGTGTAGAAGCTTATTCATCCCTGTACACTCGTTGCTCCTGACATCTCCCAGACTGTCTCCCGTACTGGTCTGCAGCCCCTGCTCTCCCTACAGAAAACACTCCTAGTTCTTCCAGGAGGAAGGAGTCCAATTTCCCCCCTCCAGAAATGATGGGATGCCATCTTGACCCTAGTTTGCCCTGCCTCAAAGTCACATCTCACCAAAGTCTGACAGTGCCAACAAGGCTGCCAGGAAAAGCAGGACCATGTCACGCTCTCGCCTTCACAGGGTGCCCACGTAGTGCCTGGAAAGAGGGAGCTCAAGCTTGCAAGTTCACTTCCCCCTCTGCCAGCTCAAAGCAGCCTCTAAACCTCAGCACAGAGGGTGGAGCAAAGCTCTCCCCCTGCTGCTCCTTGGGGCTCACCTCTGCCCTAGCAAGGCTCTCAAGAGAGGGATGGACTAGTGGCTAAAGCAGTCAGAAAGGAATCCAATCAGTCTTTGCTGTGCTCCAGGACCCCTTGGCCAGCCAGTATTGTTCCAGCACTGGGGGAGCATCACACTTGTGCAGTTAGCTCACAACTGCAGGCCTGTGAAGGCTAGGACATTTCACTTGGTCAGCTGTAAGGTAAAAGGGCACCAACATGGCTGCTGTGTGCTTCCCTCTTTTTGCCCCTTCCAGCAGGTGGGCAGCCCCAGCAAGGGGCAAGTGTCCCCAGTGGCCTCCCCCTCCCATCCAGAACCCAGCCCCAGACACAGAGTTCTTCACCCACCTCTGCTGTCAATGAAGATGGGATTGCTTCCCCCACCCCTTCCCCACAACCCCCTTGGAAAAGCCACGTTCTCTCAAGTTGGCAGGGAAGGACGCCCCACCACAGCGCTCTGCTCAGCAGTCAGCACCTCTGCACACACACACAGGAGTGAATCCTGCACCAAGGGCAGACCTTCAGCAGTGCTGGCTAGTGCAGCAAACTCCTCTACAACTCAGTCCTTTGGCAAGATCCAAGGTTCCAACACGTGTCATTAGAGTGAGTGACCAGAACAGATATTTGTTGTATTGCCAGGACGTCATCTCAGCACCAGAGGTCCTGGATTTGGGCTTAGGAAGAAACCTGTACAACAAGCTCTTGGAAAAAAGACCACTGCAGAAAACGGAGGAAACCCAATGTGGCTGTTCTGATGCTCCCTCGGGCCCATGCTGTTTAACTCCAGGCCCTGCAAGGGGACTTCCAAGCACCGGCAGCGACCCCACGCGGCCCGACTGTGGCTGTGCCCCCGCCTCGCCCACGCCCCACCTGCCCGGCCCCACGCACTGCGGGGCACCCCCTGATGCCTCCAGCTGCACAGGCCGTTGGCTGCCTTTGCTGCAAGGGCGCGCTGCTGGCTCGTGTGTGGCTGGGTGCCTCCTGCACCCAAAAGCCTTTCCTGAGGGTTTGCTTCCCTGGCAGCCAGCCCCCATCCTGAATTACTCTGGGGGCTCTTCCTGCCCAAGAGGAAAATCCTTTTCTTTGCTCCTTTGCACCAAAATGAGGTTCTGGTCAGCCCCTTTCTCCAGCCAGCCTGTGTTCTCCACAGCACATTTGTGACCTACACAGTCACCACCTGTGTGCCCTGGCTGGGGACCATGCACAAACGAGGGTGCCCTCCTTCGGACTGCTTGTGGCCCTAATGAAAGCATTCAGCAGGACTGGGTGTCTGGCACTGCCAGCTGCTACTCAGGCAGAAGGTGGCCTCCACGCCAAAGCTGCAGGCTTGGTCCTCATGGAAAGGGCTCTCAGGAGCTATGAACACTGTGACAGACAGTCAGCCATACTGAAGACTTCAAATGCTGAGAATTCATTTGGCACAAGGGGGAGTGGGATGGGGACACACAAATTACACTTGCTATTGTGTGATCCCTTTGCTGTGATATTCTACACATGGAGGAGTGACAGCTGCTCCTTTACCCTCAGGCGAACCAGCCAGTCCAGGCAGAACCAGCCATGGGAATCTGTCCCCTCTACGATGCATTTCTGAGACAATGCTGGCAGGCCTTTCTAGACAAGTGAGAGGAGATGGGCCTGGCACTAGCATTGACTCCCAGATGAACCTGGCAGTGTCCAGGGTTGGAAATCTCTGACTGACAGGCACTCTCAGGAGCCTTACAGCAGTCTGCTTCTCCTGTACATCCCAAGGTCAACGATGGACAGCCACTCAGAGGCACTCCAAACGTTGCTATCCTGAATTAAACCAAGGATCCAAACTGTCCTGATACGGTCCTTGTTTGGGCCTGAAGATGGCAGGAACAGAGGGTGATTGTTGCAGCGGGACGAAAAGGAGGGCTCAGGAGAAAGGAGCTGTATTTTCCAGTGCCTCTTCCCTGCACACACCTCTGAGAGGCTGGTGCCATCTGCGTTCAGCTGCTCTCAGGTTCCTTCTGACAACGGGAACCCGCTCCCCTGCAGGACTCATGCACAGAGCACAGGAGAGTGCTACAACTGTGCACATTCCCTCATGATAAAGGGGAAACAAGGACACAGTCACGTGCTCATCTATACCTGCATGGAGTCCTGGACAAATCTCTGCACCCACGTGCCTTCACACAAAGCTAGCTGCACAGTGGTTGTCACAAGACAAGAGCAGATGTGTGAACAAAAGCAACCGGGCACTCAGGTGAGTGCACAAGGTGAGCCTACAAGGACAGGTGCTATATTATGGACCTCGTTCTCATAGTACCTGGGGTTGGTGGGACTGTGAAGCTCAAGGGCAGCCTTGGCTGCAGTTACTGTGAAATGGTGGAAGTTAGGTTCCTGAGCACAGTGAGGAGGAAGCACAAGAAACTTGCTGCCCTGGACTTCTGGAGAGCAGACTTTGGCCTGCTCAGGCATCTGCTTGGTAGAGTACCATGATACAAAGCCCTGAAGGGGAGATGGGCCCAAGAAGGCTGGTTAATATTCCAGGAATATTCAAGCAATATTCAAGGATTACCTCCTCCAAGCTCAGGAGTGATGCATCCCAAGAGGGAGTCAGGCAAAATGCCAGGAGACCTGCATGAATGAACATGGAGCAACTGGCTGAATTCAAACATGACAGAGAAGGCCATAGAGGGTAGGAGCAAGGACAGGTAGACTGGAAAGAATATAGATACATAGTCTGATGAGGCAAGATAGGAATCAAGTTAGGAGAGCTAAATCGAAGCCAGAATTGAATTTGGCCAAGGAAAGAAGCTTTGTTTCCATGCTTGTCTGCCTTAACAGTAGCATGTCCAGAACATGGAGGGAGGTGATTCACGGCCTGTGCTCCGCTCCATTGAGACCCGACCTGTGATATAGTATAAACTCACTTTAGGATAGAATAAAACTTGTGGTTAAAAGTTAGCAAGGACAAAGTAAACGACATCTTGTTATCTGTAGACCTTCTGTTATGTTTAAGCATCTTGTTATTTGAAAACATCCCAGTATCTGTTAACCGTTAGTCAGGCTGAGACTTGAGATAACTTGAGTCAACTGTCTTGTCTTGTTAACTGAGACTTCCTGTTATCTGCCGACCCTCAGTTAAACTGAAAGCCAACTCAGCATTTTTACAGCTTAGAAAACAACTGATTAAACAAAGGTGAAAAGTGCATTACGAGGAAGACCTACGGCCTTCCTCCCAAAGACCACTGCCCACATCCTGGAGACCCCGGCCCACAATTCTTGGAAGACTTATGCGCAAGCGCAAGGACTGATAAGCTAATTAGCATATGAAACGAGGGTAGGCGGGGATGGGTAATGAATATGTATGGGTGCTAATTGAATATTCATTGTTTCGCTGTATAAATATGAGATATTTTGTCACTTCGGACGTACACGATAGGCGGAAGGATCCTCCGTGCATCCAGCACTGCAATAAAGAATATACCACTTAAAGAAATTTTGGCTTTGATCTTTAAATCACCTGGAGTGCTGTGTTCAGCTTTGGGGCCCCCAGCACGAGAAAGATATAGACCTGTTCAAGTGGGTTCAGAGCAGAGCCATGAAGATGATCAGAGGGGACCCATCCAGCACATCCAGTGAGTCTTCTGCCCTCCACTGATGCATTCCTGCCCTAGAAATCCTTGGACATTTCATCCTAGCACTCTAAAGAAACCATCACTGCAGAATGGCCATGGCCTAGATCTGCAAATGAAAAGGCAGCAGTGCAGGAAACCGGTGCACAGCCCATATCATTTGTTGGGATGGTTTGCATTCAAGATGAGCTTGTCAGAAAATTGTTACCTCTGCCAAGGGTGCCTCTGGGCCTGCGGCAATGAAGTACCAGTATAAAAGGCAGCCCAGCTCTCTGCTCTCTCATCCAATTCTGTTGCCTCATCCTCCTTGGTAACCAGGTGAGTCTGAAGCCCTCTCTCCTCTTCTTCTCAAGTAGAAGGGATCTTGCATTAATAGACATCTCATCTGGTGGTGGTTCAGAGCTATGCTGGGCCTTGGAGTTCCTTCCCATGGGAGAGGGGTGGAGAGAGACGTTCTGTGTAGAGAGAGGCTGGGATATGGTGCAGAGGTAGCCTTTTGGGTTATGTGCAACGTGATTGTCTCATTAGATCAGCCTGCGCTTTGAAGGACCCTGTCAGTACAAAGCGATGAAGACCATGAACCTCCTGGCACAGCCTCCACATCCACCCTCACCAGTTGCCTTAGCTCCTTTGTGGTGGGATAATGGGGCTGCTCCTCACCATATGCTCTGCTTCCTCTCTGCCCTCTCTCCCAGGTGCATCTCCAGCCCAAGACATGTCCTGCTACAACCAGTGCCTGCCATGCCGGCCCTGTGGCCCGACCCCGCTGGCCAGCAGCTGCAACGAGCCCTGCGTCAGGCAGTGCCAGAACTCCACCGTCGTCATTGAGCCCTCTCCCGTAGTGGTGACCCTGCCCGGACCCATCCTCAGCTCCTTCCCGCAGAACACTGTTGTGGGATCCTCCACCTCTGCTGCCGTTGGCAGCATCCTCAGCTGTGACGGAGTCCCCATCACCTCCGGGTGCTGTGATCTCTCGGGCATTTCCAGCCGCTACTGTGGCAGAAGATGCCTGCCCTGCTAAAGCCACTGCCCATGGCCCTGGGGTTCCAGCACGACCATGGTGCTGGACAATAGAAGGAGGAGTCTTCAGGCCATTGCTTTCAAAATGACTGACCTTTCTCACCTCCTCTGGCAAACATTGGCAGGAGCCTGACCAGGGGCTAGTCTGAGATCTCTGAAAACACGGTCCATGTCTCTCCTTCCATTCTAACACCTACCCCCCTGTCTCAATTTTCATAGTGTTCTTCTCCTCCCCTGTGCTGTGGGGATCCTCAGATCCAGCCCTGCCACTGTGGTAACAGCAGACTAATGCCCTGCATGAACTCCTCCATGGGCAAAGGATGCTGCCTCTTGGTTGGCCCTGGTGATCCCTGCACTGAAGGGCCTCTGCTCAGAGTGACCTCCTTTTCCTCTGTACACTCATTAAAGTTTCCGGCAACCCAGCCTTGGCTGTAGATGTTTCTTCCCTCTGCGTATGCCCTCCTGAGCCGCCCAGCAAGAATTGTCTTGCCCTTGGTGGGTATAAGATGGGTGTTTAAGGAGCCTTTTCCCCACTCCCAGAACAATGGGAGGTTGCGACATGCTGCAGAGGGTCCTCTCTTGGACAATGCCCATTGGAGCTGAAGAAGACATTCCTCACTTTCACAGAGCAAGGGGCAATCTACCCTTGCCTTGCAGCATCTCTGCCCACAGCTCCCCCCTGTCCTGCAAACAGAGAGCACAACCTCTGCTGTCCTCATGGAAGAAGCTACGAGTCTGTGGGAGGCTGTGGAGGCTTGGCACCCTGTAGGCTCTTAGGAACGGGCTTCTTCTTGCTCAGGACAGTGCTGTGCTGGGGAAGCAGGTGGGGACAGAAGATGGATGGCAGATGTGGGGAATGGGTGGAATAAGTACAGGGATGCCCGACTGCTTCTACTCCACCCTCATCTTCCCTCGTTTCCCTACCTCAGGGCTATGGCAAGCACACATGGGCATGTGTGGCAGGAACACGTGTCCCATGAGGCCCAACCGCCCCCAGCACGGCACTTGGCAGGGCCCAGGTGATGGCACACATGCAGGGCAGATCCCCTTCCACAAGACAGCATTGGTGTTCCCCGTCATGGAACATACACGTAAATCTCTAGTCCCTGAGGACCCTGAACCCATATGGGGTGGGTCAGTGCAGAGACAGCAGGCAGTTTGCATGCCCCCATGCTGCTCTAGGGTGCCCACTTGCCCCCAAGCATGCAACAGCTTTCCTCAGGTGCAGGACATGCACTCACAGGGACTTCCTCATGCTCATTTCCACTTTTCCTGACCATTTGCTTTGCTCCTGCTCAGGCAAGTTGTTTCTCTGTTTCTTCTTTTGGTTATGTAGAGGCTATGTTCAGGACGCGTGCAGCTCTCTGTTGCCCAGTTGCACTTCAAGGATGCCCATTGTTTCCAGGCCCTGCTTGAGTGCTGGCAGACATTTTTCCTGTCAGTGCTTTGCAGCCCTTTGATGTTTCTCATCAGTATCTTATTAGAGCCTGGTTACATCTATGACAGGTCCCATCAGAAGGGCACCTTGTCCTTCCCTGCTTGATTACAGAGCTGTTTTCTTATGGATCCACTTATGGCCCTGCTTGGTACAGCCTTGCCATGTCCAGAAGGAATCAGCCATGCAGGCAAGAGAGATGAGCCAAAGATGCGCTGGGGTAAACCCTTTGTCTTTCCTGGTGCCAGAGGAATGGAGTCAGCCACAGCTGCAAGACAATGCAACCAATTTAGCCCAGGTGAAGGTATGGCACTGCCAGGGCTAAGGTGTGGGGTAGACCACAGGAAAGAGACCCAGGCAGAGCTCTGACAAACATTTCTGCTTTGTTGGGATGGCCCATTGCCCTGGAAGGGCTTGGCCCATGTTGCAACCCAAAACATGACTGGTAGTTCCTGGAGACATTGGTTTCTTAATTGCTCTGCTGTTTATTGCCTACCTTGAATGCCCCAGGACACTGATAGCAATATATAAACCTTGTGTGTAGTTCTGGGTGCATGTCATTGGCAAACAGATAAAAGTGTGGTTGGGATCTGCCTCTGAGTTTGAACAAGGCAGATTAGCTTGGATGAGACACCCACTACGCTGAGAAAACACCTTTGCTCTGAAATACGACATGTGAAGCTGCCTCCTTGCCTTCAGGAGAACCAGCCAGACATGGGCTGGATGGGAATCTGTCCCCTCTGCGATGCATTTCTGAGACAATGCTGGCCGGCCTTTATAGACAACTGTGAGGAGATAGGCCTGTCTCCAGCACTGACTCCCAGGAGGACCTGGCAGTGTCTAGAGGTGGAAATCTCTGACTGACAGGCACCATTAGGAGCCTCACAACAGTCTGCTTCTCCTATATATCCCAAGGTCATCGATGGACAGCCACTCAGAGGCACTCCAAACATTCAGTTACCCTGAATTAAACCAAGGATCCAAACTGTCCTGATTCGGTCCTTGTTTGGGCCTGAATTTGGGAGAAACTGAGGAACATTGTTGCAGCGTGAGGAAAAGGAGGGCTCAGGAGAAAGGGGCTGTGTTTCAGTGCCTCTTCCCTGCACACACCTCTGCCAGGCTGCTGCCATCTCCGTTCAGCTGCACCCAGGCTCCAGACCCTTTCAGCAGAACCGAAGTGCCTTGGAGGGGCCGGGCTGGCGGGGGAACCCCCGCGGCTGCGGGACGAGGTGGTCCTGGCGGGCGGAGCGGCAGCGCCCCCTGGGGGCTGTGCCCCTGCCTCGCCCCCGCCACACACGCCCGGCCCCGCCCGCCACGGTTCCTGCACGGCCGCAGCCCCGGCTCCTCTCCCCGTGGCTCTCAGGGCGCAGTAATACACCGCCGCGTCCCGAAGCTGGGGCTCGGTGAGCCACAGGGCGCTGGACCGGCGGTCTGCTGCCACCACGAGCCGCCCCGGCAGGTCCCTCAGTGCATTGGAGCCTTTAGTACCGAACACTAGGAATGTAGGTCCTTGGCCCGGGAGATGGCGGTACCAGTAGATGGAGTAACCAGTCTGCATGTTGGGGTGTGAGCAGGTGATGTTGATGCTGGTGCCCTCGGTGGTCTGTGCCTGTGGCTCCTGCTGCACCTGGGCTCTGCACACAGCCACTGCCGAGAAAGAAAGCAGGAGAAAACTCAGAAAATGTCTTTCCTGCACTGAAAATATCACGCAGGGGGAGAGGGGAGAAGAAAACGGTTGATAGCCGATGCGAGCTTTTTCTCAGAAGAAAGCACACAAAGGCATTTTAGTGGGAATGGTTATTAGGGGACCAAGTCGGAGCAGGACTGTTTGGGAGGAGAGTCCGAGCCAGGAGGAGAAGGGAAGCAGGCAGCAATGAGTGGGGGTGTGCCGAAAGGAGAGGAGGAAGGCAGGGAGCAAGGCAAGGTGGGAGGCAACGGCCGGCTGAGCTCGCTGGAGGCAGGCGGGATGGCTGCAGAGGGAGGCCAGAGGGGAGCGAGGTCCGTAAGAAGCCGGCGGGCCAGAAGCGAGGGCAGCCCCGTCCCGTCCCGTCCCGTCCCCGGCGCCGGCAGCCCCGCGCACCCAGGAGCACCGCGGCCAGCGCCGCCAGCCCTGCGGCCCGGCCCTGCCGCATCCCGCCGCTCCGCCGCCCGCGCCGCGCTGCCCCCGCCAGCCCCGGCTCTGCTCCGCCCGCGGCGCCTCCTCCCCGCCGCCGCCGCCCGGCGCCGCCAGCTCCGCCCCGGGGCCGCTCGGGGGCTGGCCCGGGCTGCGAGTGCTGGGCGCCTGTGGGCGGGCAGGGCTTCGGCTGCTGCCCGCGGGGCTCTGCCCGTCCTGCAGCCCAGCCCGGGATAGGAGAGGCAGAGGGAGACAGAGTGGGAGATGGAGCGGGAGCGAAAGGGCGAGGGAGCGGAGACAGCAGCTGCCCGTCTGCTACGGCATCTCCTTTGGGAGTGGGAAGGGGAGAGGAGGGCAGTGAACGGGGTAGGAGATGAGTAGGGAGAGAGGAGAGAAGCGGGAGAGGAGAAAGCAGCTGCCTGCCTGAAGCGTCCCCAGTGGAGGGCAACGGGTCAGGCTGGGCTGGGCCTGGGAGCTTGGTGCTGTGGTGCGCTGATATCACAGCTGTGGCCGGCACTGCTGCAGGTGTGGAAAGCCAGCAGCAGGAACGGGTCCGGGGACACAGTGCCCCGACAGCACCCCAAACCGTACGGGGCCCTGCTGTCTGGCACTGCCCATTGAGCTGTCATCGTCGGTCGAGCGTCTCTGCCCAGATTGAGGGGCACAGTTGCCACTTTCCCATTTACAGGCTTCACGGCAATAGTAGCTGAGCACGTACCTGGGAGACACACAGGCAGGGACAAGCATGCCCATTTGGGGAAGATAGATGCAGGCCAGTACCCCCAGTAGCTGCTTTTGGAGACCCCAAATGGACTTGCCACATTTTCCTGGAGGCTGAGACCCCCTTTCCCTGCTTGGGGGACCCCTGGCTCCAGCAGCTGACAGCACAGGGCAGGGATGTCCTCGCGCTGAGTCTGACTCCAGCGGCTAGCATCAAATCCACTTCTGCCACTCCATGAGGAATTGCTACGTTCTCCTTGCAGCACATGTGTGCATGGGACAGAGCGAGATTATGGAGACGTAAGGAAATATTCCAGAAGAGGACAGGACAGACAGTGGTGCTCATGTGCAGGGCCCAGCCACGCAAGTACAGGCTGCAGCCCCTTTTACACCCTGCTCTGTCTGCCCTAGTGTACTCCTCCCGGCTCCCATTTCCCTGCACGTCCCCTCATGGGGTTGTATAGGTCTGTCCTGCACCCACCCCAGCGTGTGTCCTAGCCCACAGCTGTAGGAGGTGCAAGGCCCAAGCTGATCTCCCTGTGGCTTCTTGATAGGCCACCAACTGGTGTTGTGACTGCCCACATTTGATCTCTTCTCTTCCTCCTTCATCATCTATCAGTCAGGTTTGTATCCCTGTGTGTTGTTTCCAGCTTCCTGCAGTTCTTTCTCTCGGCCCCCCTCCCAAGTGCTGAAGGGCTGCTTCTAGGGTAGGAAACAAGGAGGGAGGAGCTGAAAGGTAAGAAAGAAAATAAGGGCTGCTGTGGAAGCAGTGATGGCAGCTTCCCCAAGACCTCCATGTCAGAAGAGAGTAGAGAAAACAGCATGGCCCTGAAAGCAGAGACAGCGAACACAGCAGAGGAAACGAAGAAACAACCTCCCTCTGTTTCTCAGGTTTCGCATTGCTTCCTTCATTTTCTTGGTCCCTATGCTGCAGATTGGTGCATGGAGCAGGGGCATCACAGCCCTGGAGAAGATGGATACCACTTTGTTGTGGGAGAAGTTTGCAATGGGGTGGGTATAGAGGAGGGAACGTAGCCCCCGGCATGATACAAGTGCAGCCAAGTGAGAGTGAGCAGACAGTGTCTTGTGTCTCCTCACACGTCTACGTTCAGAGGGAGACCAGGAGCACCCTGCAGGAGCTCAAGGAGCACAGGAAAACTGGTGGTGCTGTTGTATTTAAGGAGCACAGCAGTCCAGAAGCTCTCTGCAGAAGGCAGCTGCATGACTGACAGCGAGTCCCAGAAGGAGCTGCGATTGTGTAGGGCCAGAGCAGGGCAAACGAAGGGTGAGCGCCGCTTGTGCCAAGGAGGGGAGCAGGAGCTCAGCCCACAGGCCTCCCACCAGACTGGAGTTCTGCAGTGGGTGGCAGATGCACGCAGCTTGGTCATAGGCCATGAGTGCGAAGAGGACATCCCAGTTTAGGCCCACTAGTGGAGGAAGAGGAGCCAGACCACACAGCTGGAAAAGTAAATTGTCCATAAAGAGGCGTCCTGACCAAGACATGGCACATGTCAATGAATGAGAGGTTTCCAAAGACAAATTACACAGAAGGATGCATGGGCTATTTGGGCACCGCCATCACGAGTGTATTCCCAGCCTGGATCAAGAGGTAGATGGCTGAGAATTCCAGAATGAAGAGCAGCAGCTCTCAGCTCTCAGACAAACCCAGCAGCAACCGAAAAAAACTCTCTCTAGGCCTTCCCCTCACTCCTGTGGGAAGGAGATAGAGTTGCTGCTCAGGATTCCTTGCCTTCCACCACTCGATATCTTCTGGAGGTAAAACACAGCAGGGCCTCAGCAATCCAGGATGTTCCTTGACAGACAGTTGAAAGTAAAATCTGAACTCTGGAGTTCAGGAGAGCAGTATTTGTTTTCTTCACTGTGTGCACAACTATCTCTGTGCGTTCCCAAATATACTTCAGTATGCATCCAGGAGTGTCTGTGAGTGCACCCATGAAATCATGCATCTTTTGACATGAGCAGCAGTGTGCATGAGTGCTGTTCCCTCCGCCCGCTTTTGATATCATGAATGATATCGGTATGTGATCATGGGTCACCCTGGGAATTAACAGAAACAGTGATCCGTCAACAGCATCCCTCCAAGGCTGATATGTGGTGACTGTGCATCCAGAGGATCACAGGCTGCACCTCCAGCACGCACGTAGTCCAACCCTGTTTTCAGAGCGGGTCTCATCAGATCAGGTTGCTTAGGATCAAGTCCAGGCAAAGTCTGAACTTTTCAGAGGATGGAGCTCCAATAGCATCTCTTGTGGGAGTAGACAATACACGTCTGTTTGGCTTTCTGTGTTGCACCCACAGGGTCTTTCCCTCCTCCCACAGCACAGCAACACCAGGACCCATGTTCCTCTGGTTCAGTACCACTTCTGCCCAAGGTTTCAGGCCCTGCATGACTCAGCACCAGGCCCATGAGTCACAGATGTATGTGTGGCATTGGTTTCCCCATGGGGGACCTCTGTCCCACCCCACACACCACTGACACTGCACCGGCAGCAGATCCACGCAGGGCTGGGCCTGCACAAAGATGGCAGGATTTCTCAGCCTTTCTCCTTGTGCATAAAGCTAATGCCATCCTTTTGAACTCTCTAGCCATGGGGAGTGCAGCTGTGTCCTGGCCTGGAGAGGCAGGGAGGGGTGACTGCCACCATGCTCTTACACTCTGAATCCTGTGGTACAGAATTAAAGAAAGGATCCAAACTGTTGTGGGCCCATCCTTGTTGGGGACTGACATTAGCAATGAACTTCTTAGGGTCAGGAGAAAGAGGGCTTCAGATACAGAAGGCTGCATTTCAACATATGTGCTGTGGGCACTTCTGGGCTATTTTGTTCTGTGATTGTTCAGCTGTTCTCAGGTTCCCTCTTCCTCTCGTCTTGCCTACTAAACTCCAAAACACAGCTCTCTCACACCCCCTGCTGAAAGCAAGATGTTGGGAGAGAATGTGATTTAAGCTAAAGGGCTTACAAGTTGAGATAGGTATAATATAATTAAATGAAAAAGGAAGCATAATTATAAAACAAAAGAGTGAAGGGTGTTTGGAAACAAATTGAGAGAAAATTATGCTCCACTTCCCATCAGCAAGTGATGTTCGTCGAAGTCTTTGGAAGCACTGACTTAGTATGCCCACCCCTGGTTTTCATTCCCCTTTCACATCTTCACTGCTGAGCGTGATATCATTCAGTACGGAATATCCCTTTGCTTGGTTTAGGTCAGCTGCCCTGGTGATGTCCCCTCCCAACCTCGTGCTCACGTGCATACCTGCTGGCTTTGTGGGGCTTGGAGAGAGTCTTGATGCCGTGTCAGCACTGCTCCACTATAGCCCCAATGTTGGTGTGATGGCAATGCTGTTCTAGCTTCAAGTGCAGAGCACAGCACTCTAGGGGCTGCTGTGGGGAATGCTGAGTCTGTCCCACATAGCCCCAATACAGGCAAGTGCCCACAAGGGAGGAACATGTGCATGAACGTGACACAGTGTACAGCAAAGATTCTGGACAGCATTTGAGCAAAGCACATGGTTTGACGTGGTAGAGAGGGGAGGTGGACTGGGAGCCTTGCAGAAGGCGCTGGAGCCAGGGCTCTTGACAAGACAATGTCAGCTTTCTTGGGCCTTGAACTTAAGGCCTGAGAATCCTATTTGTTAGCCTGAGTAGCAGTGGCAAGGAAAGTGCTGGAGTGCCCCGACTGATCACTGGTGGGTGTCATGACAGAAATAAGCTTGCGTCATGTAAGGAGATGGTGTATGATTTTATTAATTTTTTTTTTTTGAAGCAAAAAATGAAAGGCATCAAGTTATGGGAGTGAAGAAGGAATTCTCTATGGACAGGATCTGCACTGTGTGTCTTGGGAAAATCCACCTGGCTCTGTCCGATGCTGGTAGAAGGCAGGATCACCTGCACATGAAAGCATTCCTTTCTGTGTACATTCATCTTGTTATTCCTTCTAACTAAAACAGCCACTGACCTGTTGGGCCTTTCTTTTGTGATCCAGAAAGGGCCCTGCACAACCTCTCCCCCTTTACAGACACCCCTGGGTCAGAGCAGGAGGAGGCAAAACAGGCCAGCAGGTTTTCCCTGAGGGCAGTGTCAGCAGGGGTAGGGTCACAGGCAGGAGCTGGGTCACCTGTAATCAAAAGGGCCCCAGAGAGTCCCTAGGGAGTCACCCTGACTGAAAACATTTGCCTTTACTGGACTCTTCCAGCGCGTGAGCTGAGTCTTCTGCCCACACTGACATGTGTTGCCTGGAAATACTTGGGCCTCCCTACCTGCCACTCAGGAGTTGCCTTCTTTGGGGAAAGGGCATAAAGCAGGAAATGAAAAGCAGCATCACAGGAAGGCAACACACATCCCGTATCATTAGGTGGGATGTTTTGCATTCAAGAGCAGCTTGTCAGAAAATAGTCCCTGCTTCAAGGGATGCCTCTGGACATGGGGCAGCTAAGGCCCACTATAAAAGCCAGCCCAGCTCCATGCTCTCTCATCCACTTTTCTGGCCTTCTTCTTGTTGGGAACCAGGTGAGTGTGAAGCCCCTTCTTGTCCCCCTCATTCTCCCACAGGAGGACTCAGTTCCTTGGACCTTTCAGCTGCTCTCAGCTGTGTGCCCTGCCAAATCTTGGGACTGCTGATTGTGGGAGAGTCAAGGGGTAGAAGGTTTGTCATGGAGGAAGATTGGGCCTTTGGTGTGATGGCTCTTATGCTGGAGCCTAGGGTGTATCCCGGCTGCAGTGGCTCTTTTTGGGCCCTGTCAGGATGCAGCCAAGAATGCCTCGCACATCCCTGCACAGCCTCCAGCTCACAGTACTGCCTGTGCCTTGGATCTGTTAGGGTCTGGTAGCAGGCTGCTCCTCATGCATGCCCATGTTAAACTTCCTATCTGCCCTCTCTCCCAGGTGCACCTCCTACCCCCAGACATGTCCTGCTACGACCAGTGCCGGCCATGCCAGCCCTGTGGCCCGACCCCGCTGGCCAGCAGCTGCAACGAGCCCTGCGTCAGGCAGTGCCAGAACTCCACCATTGTCATCCAGCCCTCTCCCGTGGTGGTGACCCTGCCCGGCCCCATCCTCAGCTCCTTCCCGCAGAACACGGCTGTGGGATCCTCCACCTCTGCTGCCGTTGGCAGCATCCTCAGCTGTGATGGAGTCCCCATCAACTCTGGGTGCTGTGACCTCTCCTGCATTACCAGCCGCTACTGTGGCAGCAGGTGCCGCCCCTGCTAAAGATGCCAGACAGTGCCCCAGACCAGGACCCCAGGAACTCACAACATGCTGCTGGCCAAAATGGATGGAAGAAGAGACCTCATGTTGTTGTTCTAAGAGGACCTGACCATCTCTGGCTTTCCTGTAAAGACAGATAGGAAGGGGCCAGCCCGGAGTCTATGATAACATGACCAATGTCTTCCTATCCTGTTTTCTACACGCTCTTTTTCTTTCTTTGCTTTCTTGCCCTCTCCTTTGTGTGAGGCCCCCAGAAACCAGTCTGGAGAGACCTGGTAGACCCTCTCCCCATGTGGGCCAGGTAGATTGATGCCCTGTTGCAAGTCTGCCATTGGAAAAGCTGAACAGATTTTTGTCTGCTCCTGCTTGCTACGATCTTGGGGCCTCCTCTTGGAGTGTCCTCCTTTCCCTCCTGAGCCTTGATAAACATTTGCAGCAACCCTGAGTGTGTCCCTGTGTGGTCTTTTCATCTGGATACTGATGGCCAAGGGAGAAAACCATTCCTTAGTGGGAATAGGCTGGGGGCACTGCCTCATTCCTCTAGGCACTGGAGGGTGGGGCATACTGCAGCAATTCCTCTTTCGGTCAGTGTCTCTTGAAGGTGAGGAAGACATCCCTAGTTCCATCACAGCCAATAGCCACCAGTCCGTGACTTGTGGCATCTCCGCCTAGACAAGCGCTGTTGACATTGTAGGCCCCGGCTCTTGGGGAAGAGTGTTCGTCTTGCTTTGGGTGGAGCTGTGCTGGGGGTGGAGGCTGAGACCAATATGATCCCAAAGGACTGCAGAAACTGGGAATGGGTAATTGTCTTGGTGATGGCCCTCTGTCCCTCATCGACTTTCACATTTCCTCCACCACCTAATCATTGGCATCATGTCTGGGCATGAAGAGCAGGAACAGCTTCCCTGTGCATCCCCATCACACTACAGCACAGCGTCTGGCATGGCCCAGCTGTTGCCAAGATGCATAGGGCTGAGGGGATCCACAGGTTCGTACTGGTACCAGTCCCATCAGGCCACACACTGGAGTCCCCAGGCCCTGTGAACTCAATTCCTTTTTCATGAAGGCAGGCCCAGGGCAGGGACCAATGCCCAAACACTCACGGCTGCTCAGTCTTGCTTTCTTTTCCCCAAGCATGGATCAGCTTTCATCAGGCCCTGGAACTCAGAGACCCCATAGGTGGCACAATTGCACCATGCTCCAGAAAAGACATTCTGTGGGGGCAGGGATCCCAGAGTCTCTGCTGAGACATAGCAGTGAGAATGGGACCTGATTGTGCACTCAGCAAGATCTGTGTATGGGCCCTGAATGTCACAAGGCATGCACCAGCCCAACCACAGGGCACACGCTGGGGGATCTTCTCCCAGGCACCAAGCTCCTCTGTCATTCCCAGAGCCATGAGGATGAAGTGGCCCTTGTGCTCCATGTAGCCCCACTGCTCTCCACACCCAGGTGAGGGCCTTCCCACAGTAGCACACCTCGGGGCCCTGTGGTGTGGGGGTACTTTACTTTCACAAAGAGTCTTGCCCCTAGTCCAAAGACTCTGCTCATGCTCAGGCCTAGCATGGCATTGCCCCAGCTCTGCTGCCTGTGTGCCTGTGCCTGGGCTGGCCAAATCTTGTCAGCCTGGCCTAGCCAGCCTCTTAGGTGGTGCAGGGCCATCTCTGGATGGAGCCTTCATCCAGGCCTCTCTGGAGTCTGGCCTATCAGGTATTAGCCCCGGCCCAGCTCTCACGCTGGGACCGAGACTTTCTACGCATAACACATCCATTGCTTGGGTTAGAGCAATAATCAATAGGTGCTTCTGAGCCAGAATTATCTCCTGGCTAACACTGAAGTCTGAGATGGAGGAGCATATTCACAATTTGGAGATTCACAATTGTCTTGGAAATGACAGAATCCTTCTGGAGAACAAGTCCCCTCCACATCCAGAGTTGTTGCACAGCCAGGGCAGCTTCCTGCACCAGGGTGTCACTCACAGCACAGAAGTACAAGGCGCTGTCAGAAAGCTCGACTTCCTTCAGACGCAGAACACTGGATTTCCTCTCAGTGTTCAGCTCCGTGGTGAGACGGTCACTCTGCTTGGTGCCTGCTCCTGCTTGATAGGAAATCCGTTGAGGGGCTTGTCCCTTCTTCTGCTGGTACCAGAGCAAGCCATTAAATCTGGAGGTTTCATATGTGCAATTGGTCTGGAAGGTGTTTCCCTGCTCCACAGTGACTTGTCCTTCTTGCTGGGTGACGGACACCTGCCCCGTGGTTTCTGGAAGAAAGAGAAGTTCAGCAGTTCTGTGGGGAAATCTCCAGACAGCCAAACAGGAGTGAATTCAGACCTGTGGGAGATAAGGCCCCCTGTCCTTTACTGGGCTGAAAGGTCCCCAGGGCTGGGGCACAGCAAGGTGGTTTGGGGGCAGAGCTCAGAGCTCCCTGGCCAGAGCGGACCCTGAGGAGAGCTGTACTGTGTGCCTGCTCCTCCTGCCTCACACATCAGGCAGAAGACAGACTGGACACCCTGGTAATGTCCATGGGAGGAGAGCTTTCATGTCCCTGTATCCACTTGGACACAATCTGTCTGTTTCTATAGGAAAGGGAGAAATGAGGGATGGCAGAGACTGATGAAATCTTCTCTGGTGACAGTAGGTGGACCAGAAGAGAGACGCAGAAAAGGGATGGACTGAAAGGACGAGAGAAGCAGGAGAGGTCTCTTCTCCATCTCCTCATTCCAAATTTTGAAGAATAACAGCAATGTGAGATAACCAGTCCAAGAACCAGAAACAGGAGACAACATTTACCAACATTTTCCCTGTGATTCATAATCTCTTTTTCACATAAATGTGGTAAGGCTGACGAGGGCTTCCTGGGAAAAGAAGATTTATGTCTTGATTAAAAGCCAGCACTTACCCAGCAGTTGCCCCAGGAAGGCAGTGAGGATGAGATACCCACGGTGCATGCTGAGACCGACCCTCTTGTTTGCTGTGGGAGAGAGAGTCAGAAAAGCACCTCCCAGCCCCAAGAGAACAGAGCTCAGGAAATGACTCTGCTGGGGGAACAGGAGGAGATTCAGCAAAGATAAATTTTCTGTTCTGACTGTGCCCCAAATGCTCCCTGGGGTTTCTCCCTCCTCCAGCTGCAGCAACCTTTGAGGATTGTCACAGTCAGGGATCCTGGGAACTCTGGGAGCCGCATCATGTGCAGGGGCTGCTCTCGTCTCCTCTCCCAGTGGGGTCCTCACTTCCCCAGCTACATCTGCCTTCTCTTCTCTCTTCTGCACAGGCACTGTTTGGCCATGGCTGATGTCAGGACAGTCTTCCCCACTGAGCTTGTTCTTTCTACCTTGGGGTCCCCTGCTCCATAGAAATGTTTCTGTTTCCTGTGTGAGGAGTAGATGCCTTTCACATCCCCAGAAAGAAGGGAGGAACCATGCTACGCAGCAGCCCAGGGTTTCTGGCTGTGTCCTGTTCTGGTGGGATAACCTAGCATTTGCAAGAGGAACTGGGCTCCACTGGGGTGTTGGATGGCACGAGCCTAGAGGGGACAAGGACAACCTGTTCCATTGGGCAAGGGGTGAGGAGTCAGCAGGGAAAAGGATGTGGGTTCAGTGGGTCACATGCACTCACAATGATGGGCCACAGGGGGCACTCACCCAGGGCCACATCCCCAGCAGTTTCTGCTTCCCTGATGCTTGGGCCCCCTCTATCACCACCCCTAACACCTTGTCTGGCTAGGCTGCGCCTGGCTAGTTGCCTTGTCAATGCCTCAGATGTGTACTTCTCAGACATCCAAAGGAATGACACTCCAAGCCCTGCAGCCCCCAACTGCTCCTTTCATAGCCCCCAGGCAGTGTGAACGTTCTCCCTCTCTCCAAAAATATTTACCGCATGAAGCAGTGAATCCTCTTCACTGCCTGTGGTGTCCCGAAACAGAAGGAGATTGTTCATGGAGAAGTTTGGGATCTGCATGGCAGCTGGCCTGAATAGGCACAGAGCTCTGCTGTGCTGTACAGAGCTGTGCTGTCCACATCCTTTGGCACGTGGTAGTGTGCATGTGGCAAGTCTGTAGGAGTGAAGCAACTTGTTGTTTTTTGATGAATAGAGCTCTCCATTTCAAAGAAGAATTACACAAAATCCCAGAAAATCTCCAAAGAAAACAATGCCAGTGAATCTCAACAGGAGCAGGATCTGCAGCATGTGCCTTGCCCTGACAAGTGGTCTGTCTTATGTTCCTTGGTGAGCTCCACCACAACCACTCTTACTCCCCCTCATCAGAAGAGGGTGAGAAGAAAAAAAATTAATATAAGGGAAAAGTAAGAGAGAGAAATAAGCAAGGGCTGCACAGAAGCACAGAGAGAAAATAAAATTATTCTCTACTTCCCCTCAAAAAGTGAGGTTTGGCCATCTCCTGGCAAGCAGGGCCTCAATACTCATAGCGATTGTTTGGGAGGACAGATGTCTTCATAATGAGAGCTCCCCGCTTTCCTTCCCCTTTGCCGCCTTTTATTGCTGAGTGTGACATCACATGGAATGGAATATCCCTTTGGATGATATGGGTCAGCTGCCATGGTGATGTCCCCTCCCTCCTTTTGCCAACCCTCCACTTCCTGGCTTTGGAGGTGTTGGAGAAAGAATCTTGATGTTGTGCCAGCGCTGGTCCATAATTGCCCAAACATTGTTGCGATGGCAGTGGAGTTCTAGCTCTAAGTGCAGAGCACAGCACCATAGGGGCTACTGTGGGGAATGTTAATTCTGTCCCAGACAGTCCCAGTACAGCTCCATAAATCAGGGACAACTCTTTGGGCCTGACTATTCAGCCAGTTTCTAACCCAATGAAGCATGCGCCAGTCCAAGCCATGAGCAGCCAGTTTCTTGAGGAGAATGCTGTGGGAAACGGTGTCAAAAGCCTTGCTGAAGTCAAGGTAGACCACATCCACAGCCTTTCCCTCATCCACCCAGAGCGTCACTGTGTCATAGAAGGAGATCAGGTTCGTCAAGCAGGACCTGCCTTTCATAAACTCATGCTGACTGGGCCTGATCGCCTTCCAGCCCACTCCTTCTCAATTTTCCACATTGCAGCTAACAGCCAGCTAACTCTCCTTCTTTCCTTTTCTCTTTCCTTACTGTACATGCATCTTTCCATTTATTAAATTCATTCCTTGAGGGATTTGGATTGTGGTGTGTTGAGCTTAGCCATTGCTGCTTTGCATCTTGCCTTCCATTTCCAAGAAAACCCTTTCACAGTGGGGCCCATTTCTCAAGGGAACCATTCATTATTCTAACACAAGGCTCCTGCTGACTATACCCAGCTCTGTCTCCCAACACTACAGAGCACTGGCAGGTTCTCTACGGATCCTTGGTGGAATGAGGACTGGCCACAGGTTGTGGTTGTAATTAGGGATGTATTATTACATAATAAATTACTAGAAATACTAAAAATTACTACAAAATCCTAAAGCTTACTACAAATAAATTGCTAGTTTGATTACTAGCTTGATAACACCAATGCCCTTTCTCGCCACAATGGTGGGTATCTCAGCATGCTGGGGCCAGTGAGAGGGAGAGACAAGGAGGCAGGGGTGCACATTAACAGCCCCTTCCACATGATGAATATTTGCCTTTCTGTTGGTTATGCTAACCACACTGCCAGGCATCAGGAGCAGGGGCTGCTGGCTCACCACAAGCCCCAGGTGTCCTTGCTGGGCAGGCTCAGCTCAGAGCGCTATGTAAACCGTGATGAGACGGAACTGCACCTCACAGCACCCACACCTTCCTGTATAAAGCTGAAAGCTGAGGGCACCAGTGTGGGTTCAGTGCACACAGGTAGACAGCGCTGTCCTGGAGCTTGGCATCTTGCACGTGGAGAAGCACCTGGGAGTTCTCCATGGAGAGCACGGAGGAGATCCTCTCAGAATGCACATGAGGCTTGAACTTGCTCACCTGCAGCAAGAACTGAGGGGACTGGGTCAGGCGCTGCTGGTACCAGAAGATATAGGGAGTAGAGGTGCTGGTGGAGAAATTGCAGTGCAGAGTAGCGTTGTGTCCCACCTGGATGGCAGTTTCTTGGGCAAACTGCACCACAGTGTCCTTCTGTGCATGACCTGCAAAGCCAGAACAGCATCTCAGCACTGCTTGAAGATGTATCTGTTCTCCCCCTCTCTCTCCTGTGTCTATCAGCTCACCAACTTGTTCACTGTCCCCACTCTCCATCTCCCTTTTCATGGGCTATAAAATGCTGAGCTAAGTACACATGCACTCTTCTTTCTGCAGGTGCTATTCAATTCCCATACCCAAGTCTGTCAGCTTACGTACTTTTTAGGAGTATCTCACCAGGATTTGAGTCCTTATGTACCTGTGAACAATGCATGTATGAATGCTAGGCATCTGCAAAGGAAAAGTGTAGAAGCTTATTCATCCCTGTACACTCGTTGCTCCTGACATCTCCCAGACTGTCTCCCGTACTGGTCTGCAGCCCCTGCTCTCCCTACAGAAAACACTTCTAGTTCTTCCAGGAGGAAGGAGTCCAATTTCCCCCCTCCAGAAATGATGGGCTGCCATCTTGACCCTAGCTTGCCCTGCCTCAAAGTCACATCTCACCAAAGTCTGACAGTGCCAACAAGGCTGCCAGGAAAAGCAGGACCATGTCACGCTCTCGCCTTCACAGGGTGCCCACATAGTGCCTGGAAAGAGGGAGCTCAAGCTTGCAAGTTCACTTCCCCCTCTGCCAGCTCAAAGCAGCCTCTAAACCTCAGCACAGAGGGTGGAGCAAAGCTCTCCCCCTGCTGCTCCTTGGGGCTCACCTCTGCCCCAGCAAGGCTCTCAAGAGAGGGATGGACTAGTGGCTAAAGCAGTCAGAAAGGAATCCAGCCAATCTTTGCCGTGCCCTAGGATCCCCATGGCCAGCCAGAAGTGTTCCAGCACAGGGAGCGTCACACTTGTGCAGTTAGCTCACAGCTGAAAGCCTGTGAAGCCTAGGACATTTCACTTGGTCAGCAGTAAGGCAAAAGGACACCAACATGGCTGCTGTGTGCTTCCCTCTTTTTGCCCCTTCCAGCAGGTGGGCAGCCCCAGCAAGGGGCAAGTGTCCCCAGTGGCCTCCCCCTCCCATCCAGAACCCGGCCAGAGACAGAGACCTGCACCCACCTCTGCTGTCAATGAAGATGGGATTGCTTCCCCCACCCCCCTTCCACCCAATCCCCCGGGAGAGTGATTAAGGAGGTATTGGGGAGGCATTGGGGAGGCAAGGACATTCCCCAGACATGGACTGTATATCTCGAAACAACACACTGGAACTCATGATAAGGAAGCGGCAGACGGACAGAGAAACAAATGTAAGGACTATAAATCTCAAAATTGGACATTGGAATTCATTATAAAGATACAACAAACGGAAGAATTGGCAACAACCAGCTCTCGCAATTAAGAAACGTGCCAATTCAGCAGATTCCTGACCAAAGCTGAAAAGTACACTGTGAGGAAGACTCAGGGTCTTCCTCCCAAAGACCCCTGCCCACAATTCTTGGGAGGCTCTACGCAGGCGCAAGGTGCCAAAAGGCTAATTAGCATGAGAAGCGAGGGAAGGCGGGGATAGGTAATGCATATGTATAGGCACTTGTAGAATATTGATAGATTGATTGTATAAATTCAAGACTGCTTTCCGCTTTGGGTATGCACGATAGGTGGAGAGATCCCCCGTGCATCCAGCGCTGCAATAAAGAATATACCACTTAAAGGAATTTCGGCTTCGATCTTTGAATCAATAGCCACACACTATCTGGCAGGGAAGGACGCCCCACCACAGCCCTCTGCTCAGCAGTCAGCACCTCTGCACACACAGGAGTGAATCCTGCACCAAGGGCAGACCTTCAACAGCGCTGGCTAGTGCAGCAAACCCCTCAGTGACTCAGTCCTTTGGCAAGATCCAAGGTTCCAACACGTGTCATTAGAGTGAGTGACCAGCACAGATATTTGTTGTATTGCCAGGATGTCATCTCAGCGCTAGAGGTCCTGGATTTGGGCTTAGGAAGAAACCTGTACAACAAGCTCTTGGAAAAAAGACCACTGCAGAAAACGGAGGAAACCCAGTGTGGCTGTTCTGAGGCTCCCTCGGGCCCGTGCTGTTTAACTCCAGGCCCTGCAAGGGGACTTCCAAGCACCGGCAGCGACCCCACGCGGCCCGACTGTGGCTGTGCCCCCGCCTCGCCCACGCCCCACCTGTCCGGCCCCACGCACTGCGGGGCACCCCCTGATGCCTCCAGCTGCACAGGCCGTTGGCTGCCTTTGCTGCAAGGGCGCGCTGCTGGCTCGTGTGTGGCTGGGTGCCTCCTGCACCCAAAAGCCTTTCCTGAGGGTTTGCTTCCCTGGCAGCCAGCCCCCATCCTGAATTACTCTGGGGGCTCTTCCTGCCCAAGAGGAAAATCCTTTTCTTTGCTCCTTTGCACCAAAATGAGGTTCTGGTCAGCCCCTTTCTCCAGCCAGCCTGTGTTCTCCACAACACATTTGTGACCTACACTGTCACCACCTGTGTGCCCTGGCTGGGGACCATGCACAAACGAGGGTGCCCTCCTTCGGACTGCTTGTGGCCCTAATGAAAGCATTCAGCAGGACTGGGTGTCTGGCACTGCCAGCTGCTACTCAGGCAGAAGGTGCCCTCCACGCCAAAGCTGCAGGCTTGGGCCTCTGGGAAGGGCTCTCAGGAGCTATGAACACTGTGCCAGACAGTCAGCCATACTGAAGACTCCAAACGCTGAGAATTCATTTGGCACAAGGGGCAGTGGGGGGGGACACAGAAATTACTCTTGCTATTGTGTGATCCCTTTGCTGTGATATTCTACACATGGAGGAGTTCGCCTTAACCCTCAGGCGAACCAGCCAGTCCAGGCAGAACCAGCCATGGGAATCTGTCCCCTCTGCGATGCATTTCTGAGACAATGCTGGCAGGCCTTTATAGACAGGTGTGAGGAGATGGGCCTGGCACTGGCATTGACTCACAGATGAACCTGGCAGTGTCCAGGGGCGGAAATCTCTGACTGACAGGCACTCTCAGGAGCCTTACAGCAGTCTGCTTCTCCTGTACATCCCAAGGTCATCGATGGACAGCCACGCTGAGGCACTCCAAACATTGTTACCCTGAATTAAACCAAGGATCCAAACTGTCCTGATTCGGTCCTTGTTGGGGCCTGAATTCTGCAGGAACAAAGGGTGATTGTTGCATTGTGAGGAAAAGGAGGACTCAGGAGAAAGGGGCTGTGTTTCAGTGCCTCTTCCCTGCACACACCTCTGCCAGGCTGGTGCCATCTCCGTTCAGAATATACCAGAATAGTCGCAGAATATACCAGGACATGCTGCGTAATCCCAGAATTACCAAGATATAAAAAGGGACCCTGGTGGGCGTGAGGTGCGCGCCATTGATGGAGCTGAGACTCCCCGGCCACCCAGCGCTGTTTTGCTTGCTGTTGCTTACTCAATAAATTCCTTTCTATTATTAATGCAATGCTATCTGAAAATTAATTAAGGGGGCAACTTATAACAGTATTAGCCCCCGTGCAGCTCTCACGCTGGGACTGAGACATTCTACGCATAACACATCTATTGCCTGTGTTAGAGCAATAATCAATAGGTGCTCCTGAGCCAGAACTATCTCCTGGCTAACACTGAAGTCTGAGATGAAGGAGCATATTCAAAATTTGGAGATTCACCTTTGTCTTGGAAACGACAAAATCCGTCTGGAGAACAAGTGAAATTTTTGATTCATCTTTCCTATTCCTGAGATTTCGTGCTGCAATATGAGCAGCAGAAAACATCAACAAAAAGCGTCTTCCATTTTTTTTCTCATTCGGATTCTCAAACTGGTATTTAACAGCTGTTTGTTCAGCCCCAGGCATGTTCCCAGGCAAGAACCAGAGGGAAAGCATTGTTCCTGCAGAGGTGTTCAATGTCTCCAGAGAATCCTTGGGGCAGTGATCCCGGGGTAGATCAGACCCTTTCTGAGACAAGGCTGAGGCTGGTGCTGCCTTCCCTGAGAGCACAGAGAAAAGAGGGCCCATGGCTGTCCCCTGCTGGGAGCTGCCTGGGCCAAGCTTTTCTTTCTCCAGGTTGCGTTGCTTCTTGCTCTTGCAAACAGACAGAAGAGCTTCCTGAAGCCTGGGGACATCAAAACACCATATTCAACATGGTTTTGAGACGGAGGAAGGTTCATCAGCACAGCCTCGATTCTCCTGTCTGGCCTTGGCATTTGCAGCCTGCAGGATGCCTGGCTTGTCCCAGACACGTACCAGGTTGTCCCAGACACGCAATCCCACACTGCTGCAGGAGCTGGTCACTATGACACTGCTTCCTGTGCAGGGACTGAGGATGATCATACATGCCTCCAGCTCCCCTGAGGAGACATCAACGAACTCAGTGGGTTGTAAGTCTTCATTTATCTCTTGCTCTGATTGCTTACTGTGAAGAACATGGAGAGCATGGCCTTTGGCACCAGGGGCTGCTCTATTTTTCCTGTCCCTCAGGCACAGGCTTTGGACATGGACTGGCTGGAGGTCTGCAGATAACCTGGTGGCTGGGATGCAAATCCATTGCTATTGACTGACTCATTGAAGAGAGGGAAGTACCCTGTAAATCTCTGTCAGAACTACATCTAGGGGTCTCTGGGCTGGGCTAGCCAGGGCTCAAAGCAAGCAGCTTTATCATGGGCTTGAAGGAATTTACTCACCCTGGGGATGAGGGGCTGAGGGCAAGCCCCCAGGGGAGTTCTGTTTCCCAGCAGGCTCTGCCCTAGTCTGGCAGCCCAAAAAGGGAGGAAAGTAGAGCACTGTGGCCCATGTCAACCAGTCAAGGTCAGCCCTCTCTGCACAGCCAAAGACATCAGGCTGTTTGGGAAAGAGGATTGGGCTGGTAGATCCTGGAGTGAACAGGGGAAACAGCACAGCCAGGGGAGAGTTGAGTGCCCCATCCCAGAGCTCTGCCTTGCACAGACACATCCCCTCCACATCCAGAGTTGTTGCTCAGCCAGGGCAGCTCTGTGCACCAGGGTGTCACGCACAGCACAGAGGTACAAGGCGCTGTCAGAGAGCTCGACTTCCTTCAGATGCAGAACACTGGATTTCCCCTTAGTGTTCAGCTCCGTGGTGAAACGGTCCTTCTGCTTGGTGCCTGCTACTGCTTGATGTGTAATCAGCTGAGGGGCTTGTCCCTTCTTTTGCTTGTACCAGAACAAGCCATTAAAGAAGGAGGTTTCATATGTGCAATTTGTCTGGAAGGTGTTTCCCTGCTCCACGGAGACTTGTCCTTCTTCCTGGGTGATGGACACCTGCCCCATGGTTTCTGGAAGAAAGAGAAGGTCAGCAGCTCTGTAGAAAAGTCTCCAGGCAGCCAAACAGGAGTGAATTCAGACATGTGGGAGATAAGTTTCCCAGGAGTGAGCCCAGCCTGTGCACACAAGGAAGAGGACTTTGGAGGAACAAATCAGACAGAAGACAGACTGGACACCCTGGTAATGTCCATGGGAGGAGAGCTTTCATGTCCTGTATTGACTTGGACACAATCTGTTTTTTTCTATAGGAAAGGGAGAAATGAGGGACTGCAGAGACTGATGAAACCTTCTCTCGTGACAGGAGGTGGATCAGAAGAGAGAGGCAGAAAAGACATGGACTGAAAGGACGAGAGAAGCAGGAGAGGTCTCTTCTCCATCTCCTCATTCCAAATTTTGAAGAATAACAGTATCATGATAGAAACCGGCCAAGAACCAGAAACAGGAGACAACATTTACCAACATTTTCCCTGTGATTCAAAAGCTGTTCCCCACATAAACGTGGTAAGGCTTCCTGGGGAAAGCAGATTTATACCTTGATTAAAAGCCAGCACTTACCCAGCAGTTGCCCCAGGAAGGCAGTGAGGATGAGATACCCACAGTGCATGCTGAGACTGTCCCTCTTGTTTGCTGTGGGAGAGAGAGTCAGAAAAGCACCTCCCAGCCCCAAGAGAACAGAGCTGCCGGAAATGACTCTGCTGGGGGAACAGGAGGAGATTCAGCAAAGATAAATTTTCTGTTCTGACTGTGCCCCAAATGCTCCCTGGGGTTTCTCCCTCCTCCAGCTGCAGCAACCTCTGAGGGTTGTCACAGTCAGGGACCTTGGGAACTCTGGGAGCCGCATCATGTGCAGGGGCTGCTCTCGTCTCCTCTCCCAGTGGGGTCCTCACCTCCCCAGCTACATCTGCCTTCTCTTCTTCACACACACTGCTTGGCCATGGCTGATGTCAGGGCTGTCTTCTCCACTGAGCTTGTGCACCTTCACCTGGGGTCCTCAGCTCCATGGGGATGTTCCTGTTTCCTGTGGGAGGACAAGACACTTTGATTTCTCTTTCACATCCCCAGAAAGAAGGGAGGAATCATGCTATGCAGCAGCCCAGGGTTTCTGGCTGTGTCCTGTTCTAGTGGGATAACCTAGCATTTGCAAGAGGAAAGGGGCTCCATTGGGGTGTTGGGTGGCACAAGCCCAGAGGGGACAAGGACAACCTGTTCCATAGGGCAAGGGGTGAGGAATCAGCAGGGAAACGGATGTGGGTTCAGTGGGTCACATGCATTTACAATGATGGGCCACAGGGGGCACCCACCCAGGGCCACATCCCCAGCAGTTTCTGCTTCCCTGATGCTTGGGCTCCCTCTATCACCACCCCTAACACCTTGTCTGGCTTGGCTGCACCTGGCTAGTTGCGTTGTCTTCCCCCATACCTCTCTCAGTACACCTCAAATGTAGAATTCTCAGACACACAAAGGAATGACACTCCAAGCCCTGCAGCCCCCAACTGTTCCTTTTATACCCCCCAGGCAGCGTGAACGTTCTCCCCCTCTCCAAAAAAGTTTACTGCACAAAGCAGTGAATCCTCCTCATTGCTTGTGTTTTCCTGAAACAGATGGAGATTTTTCGTGGAGAAGTTTGGGATCTGCATGGCAGCTCACCTGAGTAGGCACAGAGCTCTGCTGTGCTGTACAGAGCTGTGCTGTCCACATCCTGAGCCCAAGATCTTGTCCCCATATCTGTTCTTCATACCTTGTACCCAGATCTGCTCCCCACACCTGCTCCCTAGAGCTGGATCCCACAGAGCTCTTCCCAGTACAGAGTTCCCAGATCGGGTTCCCATGACCCAGGCATGAACACCTGGTCTGCAGATCTGCTCCCCCAGACCTGCTGCCCAGACCTGATCCTTAGATCTGGATGACAGCTCTTGGCCCCATATAGCCCAGTAGATTGCAACAGCTTGCCAGTGAGGGGCACTGTGGTTTCCGGAGGCCAGCCATGGCTGGCTGGTGGGGGTCCACCACCGCACTTGGGAGATTCCAGCAGCTTGCCGGCAAGGGTCCACCGTAGCTCCTGGAGAGCCAGGCATGGCTCTTCGGTGCGAGTCTGCTGTGGCACTTGGGAAACCACTGCTGATCATTAGCGGGGGTCCGCTGCCACGCCCTCAGTCCGACGCAGGTCATTGGCAGGGTTCCGCTGCCACACCCGGGAGACCACAGCAGCTCGCCAGTGAGGTTGCGCTGAAGTTCCTGGAGGCCTGCTGCAGCTGGCAGACCTGGTCTCAAGACGTGCTCCACCAGGACCTGCTTCCTACACCTTCTCCTCACACCTGTTCCACAGATCTGGTCCCTAGACATGCTCGCTAGGGCTGCTCCCCAGAGCTGGCTCCACAGACCTGCTAATATGACCTGCTCTGCACACCTGTTCCACCTATCTGGTCTTGAGAACTGCTCCCCAGACTGGTTTCCCAGAGGTGGTCCCCAGACTGGTTTCCCAGAAGTGGTCTGCAGACCTGCTCCCCAGATCTGTTCTTCAGTTCTGCTCTCACAAACCTGGTATCCAGACCTGCTCTTCACACCTGGTCTCCAGTTCTACCCCCAAGATCTGGTCTCCAGAGCTAGTTCACAGACACAGTCCCCACTCCTGGTGCCCAGACATGGTTCCCGAATCTGGTCCCCAGACCTGTACTCCTGAGAGCTGGTCTCCTGACCCGGTCATCAGAGTGGGTGCCCAGGGCTGCTCCTCAGAGTTAGTGCCCAGGACTGATTCCTAGACCAGGTTCCCAGATCAGCTCTCCAGACCTTCTCCCCACACCTCTTCCGCAGATCTGGTCCCCAGAAGTGCTCACTGCACATGGCAGTGAGCATGTGGCAAGTCTGTAGGAGTGAAGCAATGTGTTGTTTGATGAATAGTTTTCCATTTCTAAGAAGAATCACAAAAAATCCCAGAAAATCTCCAAAGATAACAATGCCAGTGAATCTCAGCAGGAACAGGATCTGCAGCAAGTGGTCTGTCTTACGTTCCTTTTGTGAGCTCCACCACAACCACTCCCTCACTCACCCTAAGAAGAAGAAGAAGCGGAAAAGAAAGAAATTTGGTATAAAGCAAAAGTAAGAGAAGAAAATAAGCAAAGGCTGCATGGAAGCACAGAGAGAAAAGAAAATTATCCTCTACTTCCCCTCAAAAAGTGAGGTTTGGCCGTCTCCTGGCAAGCAGGGCCTCAATACTCATAGCGATTGTTTGGGAGGACAGATGTCTTCATAATGAGAGCTCCCCGCTTTCCTTCCCCTTTGCCGCCTTTTATTGCTGAGTGTGACATCACATGGTATGGAATATCCCTTTGGATGGTATGGGTCAGTTGCCCTGGCGATGTCCCCTCCTGCCTCTTTCCCACCCTCCACTTCCTGGCTTTGGAGGTGTTGGAGAAAGAATCTTGATGTTGTGCCAACACTGGAGTTCTAGCTCCAAGTGAAGAGCACAGCACTCTAGAGACTACTGTGGAGAATGTTAATTCTGTCCCAGGCAGTCCCAGTACAGCTCCATAAATCAGGGTTCCCAGCTTCAGGAAAAAAAAAAAAAAAAAAGCCTATGCTATTCCCTTTTTCTTTGAGAGTTTGGCTCCATTTGACTTTTGAATATATCACCTAGCAATGCAATTTGAATAGACAGCTAAATACAAAGATTAGACGTATTCTAATATGAACTCACTGTGTAGTATCCTAAGAGTAAAAATCACTCCCCTGTACAGGGAGACCCTGGCCCAACATGGGACCCTTCCTCTCTGAGGATGTGCAGAAGGAAAAGTGCAGATGCTTATTCATCCCTGTACACTCGTTGCTCCTGACATCTCCCAGACTGTCTCCCGTACTGGTCTGCAGCCCCTGCTCTCCCTACAGAAAACACTTCCAGTTCTTCCAGGGAGGCAGGACTCCAATTTCCCCCCTCCAGAAATGTTGGGATGCCATCTGGCCCCTAGCTTGCCCTCCTCAATGTCACATCTCACCAAAGTCTGACAGTGCCAACAAGGCTGACAGGAAAAGCAGGACCATGTCACGCTCTCGCCTTCACAGGGTGCCCACATAGTGCCTGGAAAGAGGGAGCTCAAGCTTGCAAATTCACTTCCCCCTCTGCCAGCTCAAAGCAGCCTCTAAACCTCAGCACAGAGGGTGGAGCAAAGCTCTCCCCCTAGTCTCAAGACTAGTGGCTAAAGCAGTCAGAAAGGAATCCAGCCAATCTTTGCCGTGCCCTAGGATCCCCATGGCCAGCCAGAAGTGTTCAAGCACCGTGAGCGTCACACTTGTGCAGTTAGCTCAAAACTGCAGGCCTGTGAAGGCTAGGACATTTCACCTGGTCAGCGGTAAGGCAAAAGGGCAACGACATCGCCCCTGTCTGCTTCCCTCTTCTGGCCCCTTCTGGCAGGTGGGCAACCCCAGCAAGGGGTAAGTGTCCCCAGTGGCCTCCCTCTGCCATCCAACCTGCAAGGGGACTTCCAAGCAACGCCAGGACGCCCACGTGGCTCCGGCTGTGGCTGTGTCTCTGGCAGGCTGGTGCCATCTCCGTTCAGCTGCACCCAGGCTCCAGACCCTTTCAGCAGAACCGAAGTGCCTTGGAGGGGCCGGGCTGGCGGGGGAACCCCCGCGGCTGCGGGACGAGGTGGTCCTGGCGGGCGGAGCGGCAGCGCCCCCTGGGGGCTGTGCCCCTGCCTCGCCCCCGCCACACACGCCCGGCCCCGCCCGCCACGGTTCCTGCACGGCCGCAGCCCCGGCTCCTCTCCCCGTGGCTCTCAGGGCGCAGTAATACACCGCCGCGTCCCGAAGCTGGGGCTCGGTGAGCCACAGGGCGCTGGACCGGCGGTCTGCTGCCACCACGAGCCGCCCCGGCAGGTCCCTCAGTGCATTGGAGCCTTTAGTACCGAACACTAGGAATGTAGGTCCTTGGCCCGGGAGATGGCGGTACCAGTAGATGGAGTAACCAGTCTGCATGTTGGGGTGTGAGCAGGTGATGTTGATGCTGGTGCCCTCGGTGGTCTGTGCCTGTGGCTCCTGCTGCACCTGGGCTCTGCACACAGCCACTGCCGAGAAAGAAAGCAGGAGAAAACTCAGAAAATGTCTTTCCTGCACTGAAAATATCACGCAGGGGGAGAGGGGAGAAGAAAACGGTTGATAGCCGATGCGAGCTTTTTCTCAGAAGAAAGCACACAAAGGCATTTTAGTGGGAATGATTATTAGGGGACCAAGTCGGAGCAGGACTGTTTGGGAGGAGAGTCCGAGCCAGGAGGAGAAGGGAAGCAGGCAGCAACGAGTGGGGGTGTGCCGAAAGGAGAGGAGGAAGGCAGGGAGCAAGGCAAGGTGGGAGGCAACGGCCGGCTGAGCTCGCTGGAGGCAGGCGGGATGGCTGCAGAGGGAGGCCAGAGGGGAGCGAGGTCCGTAAGAAGCCGGCGGGCCAGAAGCGAGGGCAGCCCCGTCCCGTCCCGTCCCGTCCCGTCCCGTCCCGTCCCGTCCCCGGCGCCGGCAGCCCCGCGCACCCAGGAGCACCGCGGCCAGCGCCGCCAGCCCTGCGGCCCGGCCCTGCCGCATCCCGCCGCTCCGCCGCCCGCGCCGCGCTGCCCCCGCCAGCCCCGGCTCTGCTCCGCCCGCGGCGCCTCCTCCCCGCCGCCGCCGCCCGGCGCCGCCAGCTCCGCCCCGGGGCCGCTCGGGGGCTGGCCCGGGCTGCGAGTGCTGGGCGCCTGTGGGCGGGCAGGGCTTCGGCTGCTGCCCGCGGGGCTCTGCCCGTCCTGCAGCCCAGCCCGGGACGCGGAGGCGTGGAGGCGTGCGGGGAAAGGCTGAGGCAGCTCCTTCGGCACGGGAGAGGAGAGGGGAGGGTAGGAGAAGGGAGTGGGAAAGGGAGCAGAGAAAGCAGCTGCCTGTCTTTACCGAGAGGGGTAGGCGGAGGGCAGCGGGCCGGGGCGTAATTGGACTGGTGGTGTGGTGATGTGAAGCACTGATTTCCCAGCTGTGACCAGTACTGCTTGGAGCTCCACTGGTACCGGAGCTGAGCACGTTTTTAGGGAGACACACAAACAGGGTAATGTACACCCCATTTGGGAAAGATACAGCCAGGCTGGTACCCCTAGTAGTTGCTTTTGGAGACCCAAACACTCCTGCCGTATTTGCCTGGAGGCTGAGACCCGCTTCCCCTTCTCCAGGATCTGCAGGATGACCCCCTGGTTCCAGTACCTGAAAGCACAGGCCAGGGGTGACCTTGGCCCCAGTCTGACTCAAGTTCCTGGCACCAAATCCACTCCTGCTTCTCCACCAGCAGCTGGCACTTTCTCCTTGCATCACTTGTGCACATGGGACAGAGCGAGACTATACAGAGGTAATCTCTGAGTAGACAAGTGCATGGAGTGGTCCCTTTTGCCCCCCCTTCTCTGTCTGCCCTCATGTGCTCCTCCCAGCTTCATGTGCCCTGCTGTCCCCTCATGGGTTTGTAGAGGTTTGTCCCTCACCCATCCCAGCCAGTGTCCTAGCCCACAGCTGTAGGAGGTGCAAGGCCCAGGCTGATCTCCCTGGCAGTGGCACCTGTGGCTTCTTGATAAGCCAACAACTGGTGTGAATGGTGAGGTTTGTCTCTTGTTACTGCCTCTGTGTTTGTTTTCCCTGGTCCCTGTCTCTGCATGCTTGTTGCTTGCCTCCTCTTTTCTTAGCATCCTCATTGAGAAGGTCCCCAACATGATAACTTCTGAGGCATAAACAGAGCCGCAGACCCATGAACCGCCCATAAGTTGTGCCCAGGTTTGGTCTCCTCATTGCCTCCGTCATCACCTGTCAGTCAGGCTTGTGTCCATGCATGTTCTTCTTTCCAGCTTCCTGCTGTTCTTTCTCTCTGCCCCCCTCCCTAATGGTTAAGGAATGATTCTAGGGAAGGAAAGAAGGAGGGGGAAGCTAAAAGGTAAGAAAGAAAGGTCCTCTCTGCAGAGAAGGCATCTAAAAGCATAAGAGGCATCCCGACCAAGACATGGCACATGTCAGTGAAGGGGAGGTTGCCAAAGATAAACTGCATGGAAGGATTCAAGTGTTGAGAGGTCAATGACTGAGTCCATGACGAAGAGCAGCAGCTCTCAGCTATCAGACAAACCCGGCAGCAAGAAAAGAAAGAACTCTGTAGACCTTCCCCCACCCGTAGGCGAAGACAGTGGCAGCAGGAGGAAGGAGGAGATGGAGTTGCTGCTCAGGATTCATTGTCCTCCACCACTCGATATCTTCTGGACAGACAACACAGCAGGTCCTCAGCAAGCAAGGATGTTCCTGCAGAGACAGTAGAAAGCTCTCAACCCTGGGCTTCACATGAGCAGACGATGCTCTTTTCACTGTGTGTGCACACCTGTGTGTGTGTGTGCCTGATGGTACTTCAGTATTGTCGTGTTAAGGGGTGTAACTGATTAACCGTTATGGGCCTGGTCGGAGTCAGGGTACTGAACTATCACAGTCACAGATTCACCAATAACGTATTACCATCCTTACTCTTGTCATGTTTAACAAGAACTATCACAACTAGGAACAATGCAATCAAGTGCAATTTATTACAGCAACAGGTACACAGGTTCTTTGGATTGCCGGTGATAGTGACTGTCTGCAAAAGCAAGCTAGCATGCATGAAATACACAGGTGACACAGGTGCGCAGCCTGGAAATTAATGCGTTAAAAGTCTCAAAGACTCTAGAGAAATTTATAACCAAGCGTTCAAATGTCACCTAAAGGCGTCCCAATTCAGCGGGAAGAGAGGCTCAGCTCCTCAACTGGTCCTAGGAGCCAGGAGGTCCTCAGGATGTTGTATTCCCTTGGGATGGTATCTCCCCTGACGGTGGTGTCTTCCCTAACAAGAATGCATCCAGGAGTGCCTCTGTGTAGACCCATGAGTTCATGCATCTTTTTACAAGAGCAGCAGTGTGCATGAGTGCTGTTCCCTCCACCTGCTTTTGATGTTATGAGTGATATCAGTATGAGAACAAGCAGCACACTGGGAATGAACAGAAACAGTGATCTGTCTCATCACATCAGGTTGCTCAGGATTTCTCAGCCTGTCGCCCTGGCGATGGTGGTCATGAGAGAGGGATTAGGAAAGTGTGACTCAGAGACCGTGTAGTTGCATTGTAGATGGACCTGGGTGAGCTGGATTTTCATCTAAGAGTGAGGCAGCAGCCTTATTGGTCCTAACCACTCTTTTTGGATCATGTCTGAATGAAGACATTTTGCTCCTCACTTTTCCCTGTGCTCTTCTTCCTGCCTGCCCTCTCTCCCAGGTTCACCTGCAGCCTTAAGACATGTCGCTGTATGACCGGTGCATGCTGTGCTGGCCCAGTGGCCCAACCTCACTGGTCAGCAGCCACAATGAGCCCTGCTTCAGGCAGTGCCAGTACTCCACTGTCATCATTCAGCCCTCCCACAGGGAGAACACCTTGAGGGCAGGGCCTCTTTCACCACCTTCTCCTTCCTTTCAAGCCACTGACACCAGTCCCATTGGGAAAGAGGATCTGGCTGGCAGATCTCGGAGTGCACAGGGGAAGCAGTCAGCCAAAAGAGAGAAGAGGGCCCCATCCCGGAGCTCTGCCTTGCACACATACATCCCCTCCCCATCCGGGGTTGTTGCACAGCCAGTGTAGCTCCCTGCACCAGGGTGTCACTCACAGCACAGAGGTACAAGGCGCTGTCAGAGAGCTCGACTTCCTTCAGCCGCAGAACGCTGGATTTCCTCTCAGTGTTCATCTCCGTGGTGAGACGGTCACTCTGCTTGGTGCCTGCTCTGGTGTGATATATGACCAGCTGAGGGGCTTGTCCCTTCTTCTGCTGGTACCAGTACAAAGCATATAAGCTGGGGATTTGATACGTGCAAGTGGTCTGGAACGTTTCTTTCTGTTTCACGGTGACTTGTCCTTCTTGCTGGGTGACAGAGGGTCTGCCCCATGGCATCTGAAAGAAACCAAATGACACCAACTGATCACAGAAACCAAGGGGAGAATTAAGTTTCTGGATGGGAAGGATCTTTATGCCTTTGACTGAAGCAAAAATCCCATGGATTTTGGCATCTTTGGCAGAAGGTCTATGACCAGAGGTTAGAATGGATCCCAGAGCATGGTAATATCCATTACTTCCCACATGTAGGGCCATTACCATCCCCCCAGGGTAGAGCTGTCTTTAGTTCCTTCTCTCAGGAGAAGAAACTGCCCAGAGTGTCAGGAGAGAGAGGCAGAGTGGCATGGATGGTTGGCAACAGGAAAGGAAGGGAAGGGAAGATCTGAGATGATCAGGAGAGGAGGTTTTTTATGCTGCCTCATCTTTCTTCCCAGCAGTAAGAGCATCTTCAGAAAAGACGCGCAAAACAGGCATGATCTAATACTAGCCATCATTTTCCCAGTAATTCATGAGCAGCTCCTTGCAGAGAGCTGTTGATGGGGGTGATGGTCTCCTGAAGAGAAGGAGAATCATGCCACCGGCCACAGGCAATGCTTACCCAGTGGTTGCCTCAGGAAGGCAGCGAGAATGAGATAAACAAGGCGCATTGTGAGACCAATCCTCCGGCATGTGTGAGAGAGCCTCAGAAGAGCACACGTCCCCACCAAGAGCCCCGGGAGAGCAGAGCTGCAGGAAATGACTCGGCAAGGGGAACAAAGAATGCAAGGGGGAGGAGAAAATGCTTGTGCTTGTAGTGCTTGAAATACCTGGCTGGGGTCCTCCTCCATCAGTGACAGTATTGCTTCTGCAGCCAACATCTGCACAGCTGGGGAAACATGGTGGCTCTTTTCTCCCCACGGTCGGAAGGGTCTGTTCCTGCACTGATCCTCCATTGGCATCCTCCCTGCTACAGTGAGAAATTTCTGCTGTTCTACACCCTCCTGATGGCCCATTTAGAGTCTTCAGGGCTCATGCTCCACTGGGGTTTTACATCACCTCCTGGGGTCCTCCTCTCTCTGGGGATGGTTCTTTTTCTTCTGGGAACAACTTGCACCCTGTTTCTAACCACTCTCTTCTTTCTTTCCTATAGCAACTGGGAACATTGCCTTGTAAGCAAGTCCCCAGAAATTGGTGAGGAACCCTGTGGTGCAGCATCCCAGCAGTCTGGCTGTGTCCTGATGGGGTGGGATGAGGAATGGTTGTAGTCACTGTATCATTCAAGGTTCCAGAGGTATCATTAGAGTGAGTGGCCAGTACTGACATTTCTTGCCGGGACGTTATCTCAGTCCCAAAGGTAGAATCAGAATCATTGAATATCCCGACTTGGAAGGGACTCAGAAGGATCATTGAGTGCAACTATTGGCACCACACAGGTCTACCCAAGTTCATATGACTAAGAGCATGTTAAACTTCTTAACTCCGACAGGCTTGGTGCCATGGCTATACCCTGTGGAGCCTGTTCCAGTGTGCAACCACCCTCTCAGTGAAGAACCACTTCCTGATATCCAAACTGAACCTCTCCGCAACTTGACACCATTCCCTTGGGTCCTATCACTGGTTACCAGAGAGAATACATTAGCTCGGGCCACTCCACTCCCAGTTGTGAGGAAGCTGGAGACCATCATC